AATCATTTTACCTCTAAACTTTCTTGCATTGCCTCACACATGAGTTTTTGGAGGATACCTAGTATCAAAACCATAACATGGTTTTATAGTAAGTCTTAAAGATGGGTAGTGTTAGCTCTCTGACTTTTTTCTTCAACATTGAATTAGTTAATTCTGGGTATTTTTCCTCTCTATATGAACTTGAATATTTTTTTTAATATCCACAAAATAACCAGCTCAGATTTTTGACTGAAATTGCACTGAATCTATAGATCATGCTGGGGAAAACTAACCTCTTGATAATGTTGAGTCTTCCTATCCACAAACATTAAATATGTCTCTTTTTATTTATTTCTTCTTTGCTATCTTTTATCTGAATTTTCTAGTTTTCCTCATATAGACCTTATATTTTTTTTTAGATTTATACCTCATTATTTAATTTTTAGGGGGCAAATGTAAATCATAATGTACTTTTATTTTCAAATCCCACTTGTTTATTGCTAAGTAGAAAAAAGCATTTAATTCTGTATGTTAACTTTTTACAACCTTACTATAATTGCTTATTTGTTTCAGGAGGATTTCTGTAAATCCTTCAAATTGTCTTTTTTCCTTTCCGAACTATATACCTTTTATTTCCTTTTCTCTTCTTATTGCACTAGATAGGACCTTCTTCAGTATGATGCTAAAAAGCACTAATGAGAAAAGATGTCTTTGCTTTGTTGCTGATCTTAGGGGAAAACTTAGAGTTCCTTTACCAGTAAGTATAATGTTAGTGAAGTATGATGTTCTTTATCAAGGTGAGGAATTTTCTCTCTGATCACAGTTTGCTAAGAATTTCATGAATGGGTGTTAAATTCTGTCAAATGCTTTTTCCTCCATCTACAGAAAAGATCATGTGATTTTTTTCCGATGTAATGAATTACATTAATTTCAACTGTTGAACCAATTTGGCATACTTGGGGTCAATCCTACTTAGTTTGTTGTATGTAGTCTTTTTTAGGTATTGTTCAATTTGCTAATATTTTGTTGAATGTTTGGGTCTACGTTCATGAGAAATATTGTTCTGTAATTTTCTTTTCTTGTAATGCCTTCATCTGATTTTGGCATTAGATTTTGGTCTATAATAACCTCATAGAATGAGTTAGGAAATACACACACACACACTCACATACACACATACACACACCTATATCCATTCCCTCTTGTGTGAATTTTGGCAGAGTGTATCTATCAAGAAATTGGTCCATTTCATCTACATTGTCAAATTTATGGACATGTAGTTGTTCATAATATTCCTTCACTACTTTTTAAAAAAAATATTGTTTTAGTTGTTGATAGACCTTTATTTTATTCATTTATTTATATACGGTGCTGAGAATTGAACCCAGTGCCTCACACATGCAAGGCAAATGCTCTACCACTAAGCCACAACCTCAGCCCCTCCTTCACTTCTCTTTAATGATCACAGGCTCCGTAGTGATGTCTCCTCAATCATTTCTGATATTGGTAATTTGTATAATCCTTTTCTTTGTCCTAGTTAGCTTTGCTAAAAACATTAATTATATTGATTTTTTGAAATGGTTTTTGATTTTGGTTTATTTTCTCTATTCATTTCCTGTTTTCGATTTCACAGATTTTTTACTTTAATTTTATTATTTCTTTTCTTCTGCTTACTTCAAATCTAATCTTCTTTTTCTAGTTTTCTAAGGGGGAAGCTTTGAATATTGATTTAGACTTTGCTACTTTTCCAATTCATGCATTCAATGCCATAAAGTTCCTTCTAAGCACTGCTTTTCCTATATATTACAAATTTTAGTAAACTGTATTTTCATTCAGTTCAAAATATCTTGAAATTTATTTGGTGATTTCCTCTTTGATCTATGTGCTATTTAGAAGCAAAACACTGTCTCAAAAATTAAAAAAAAAATAAATTACAAAGAAATAAAATGGCTGGAGTGTATAATAAAGCACCCTGAGGTTTTTACCCCCTGTAAAAATAATATGAACAATGAAAGTTTTTATTTTGTTTTCACTTATTCATTCTTGATGCTCTTCCTTTCTTTACATAGATCTAAGTTCTGACCTATATCATTTTCCTTCTCTCTGAAGAACATCTTTTAACATTTCTTGCAAGGAAGGCCTACTGGCAATGAATTTGTTCAATTTTGTTTGAGAAGGTATTTCTTTTACACTTTTAAAAGATAAATTTGTAGGATATAGCATTCTATGCTGAATTCTCTCTTTCAATACTTTAAATATTTTACTTCATTCTCTTCTTGCATGGTTTCTAAGAGGTCTGTAATTTATATCTTTGCTTCTATATGGATAAGGTGGGTTTCCCCCCCTATGGCTTCTTTCAAGATCTTTTTCTTTATCTTTGGTTTTCTAAGTTTCAATATGATATGACTAGTGTTGTTTTTTGTACATTTATTCTGCTCAGTTTTCTCTGAGCTTCCTGGATCTTGGGGTTTGGTATCTGATATTAATCTTGGGGAAATTCTCAATCATTGTTGTTTCAAATACCAGGGTAGATCCTGCTTCTCCTTTCACTATCTTTATTTTATTATGCGTACGTGACATATTTTGTAGCTGTCCTAGAGCTCTAGGATGTTATGAACTGTTTTTCCCCCAATCTCTTTTCTCTTTGCTTTTCAGTTTTTGAAGTCTTTTTTGTCGAATCTTCAAGCTCACAATTCTTTCTTTGGTTGTGTCAAGTCTACTATGAGCCCACCAAGGATATTCTTCATTTTGGTTATAGTGTTTTCAATCTTTGGCATTTATTTACTATTATTTCTTAGAATTTTCACTTCTCTGCTATCAGTAGCCATCAGTTCTTTCATGTTGTCTACTTTTTGTGCATTGAAGCCATTAGAATATTACTCATTTTTATTTTAAAAGATTCTTGTTCTGATAATTCTAACATTTTTGCCATAGCTGACTATGATTGTGATATTTTTTCAGTCTCTTCAAACTGTGTTTTTTTTTACTTTTAGTATATCTTGTAATTTTTTGTTGAAAGAAGAACATGCTATGAAAACATCATAAATCAGCCTTTTCTAATGTAATGATAAGTTGTGGGAGAGGGGAAACATTCTGTAGTCCTAAGATAATAGGACTTTTGGTGCATCTGTAACCCTGGACTGTGAACTTCACCAGTTCTTCTTGTTTGGTTTTCTTTCTCCCCTTAGGTAGGGTAGAAAGGCTGGAGCGGGGCAGGTAGAATTGGGCATTTCCCATCCCAGTTGGGCATTAACCATTCTGGTTAAGCCAGAAGCACGAGGGAATTTCACTCCATTATTCACTATGAAGACCTGGTAGAGAGTTTCTAGAGATAAAACTCACAAAAATAGGGGAAACCTACGACTGGGTTTTACTGACGTTTTTAACTATCAGATTTGTCCACATTGAGCCTCCAGAAATTCATAAATACAGTTTAGGTTTTCCTATCTGGCAATGGTTCCCATTGGTTTATGCTTGTGGGTTTATATTCTGGAAGGCTGTCTCTCAATGCTTGATAAAGCAGTTTGCCTTGTGACTTCACTTTTTTGACAGACCTAAGAAAGCTGAAAATCTTTTAGTTTGTTCAGTTTTTTTTACTTGTTAGGACAGAGTGGCAATTTCTAAGATTTCAAGATACTTACATGGTAGATCTGAAAGTAGAAATTCTGCAACTGATTTTTTGTTTTGTTTTATTTTATTTTGTTTTAGATGGAGTTGGACACAATACCTTGATTTTATTTTTATGTGGTGCTGAGGATCGAACCCAGTGTCCCCGCACGTGCTTGGCAAGTGCTCTACTGCTGAGCCACAATCCCAGCCCCTCTGCAACTGATTTTTAATAATTTTGTATAATACTGGACCTCTAAGCAGCATTCAACATTGTTGACCACTTCCCTTTTGGGGCCTGAAATGCTCTGCTTTCTTGATTTCTATGACACCATATTCTGTTTATTTTCTTCCTTCTCTGGCCATTCTTCTTATCTATTTGTCTGTGGAGTTTTCTATGATTAATCCTGGACCTCCATTCTCTTCCTTACTCTAGATATTCCTTCCCAGGTGACTGCATACATTTCCATGATTTTAGAAATTATCTATAAAATAGTACATCTCTTATGTTTTTTCCTGTCCTACAGATTGACAGCCAGTAGCCTTCCATTTTCAAGTATCCTCAGACTTCCTATTTTTCCTATCACATTAAACAGCACCTTTATCTACCAAAGCTGCTCAAGGTTTTTCTTAAAACCTCTCAGTCCTTCATTCAGTATATCAATCCATCAATTCTATAGGTAAAAAATTATCTTGAATCTTTGCATATATCCCATCTCTCTTATAAAATCCTCCAATCAAAACCACCACAATTTCTCACCAATATGCTTTTAACTTCTTACAAATGGGTCTTCCTTCTAGCACCTTTGCTCTTTTTAAATTTGCACTCTGATCTATGCAATGGTTGGTATAGTATAATGGAAAGAGTACAGGTTTTATATCAGGAAGATTTGCTACAAAACTCCTTGAAAAAATTAATATAAATCCCAAACTCAGTTTTCTCAGCTATACAATATGTATAACAAAATAAATAAAAAACTACTTACCTTACCAGACTGATAAAACGAAAATATAAAACTAGTGAAAAGTCACTCAAAGTTCTTACTACATACAAAATAAAGCCCAAATTCTTCCCCTAATACCCTTAAATTCCAATCTAACATCCTGGCTTACAAATAATTTTCAGCAGAAAACATTAATATGCCTTATTTTTAACTTAATCACGAATGGACATCCAAATAGTAAAAGGAAATTTTGGGAAAAAAGCAAAATACATTTTAATTTTCTTTTACTAAACTTATATAGAGTACATATTCATTTATATATTACATAGGTTTTTCACAATATTAAATAATCTAATTGTTAAACTCCAAAAAATGCTTTTGATATTGCCTTAAATAGCTGAAGTACATTTCCTATAAAAGTGTTACTTAAAAAAATTATGATTTAAGTAGTTATTCTACTTCAATACTTGCTTTCTTCTTTGTTTTTTCAGGAGTTGAAGGGCAAGTTTTTTCAGCAAGTAAAACCTCACAAGCTGTATTATCTGTAAATAAATACACAGTTTAATACTCTATTTAACCATTAACTTTTTTTTCTTTACTCCTATTTTCTCTTCTGCCATTAACTTTAAATATGGAGGACAGAGACTTCAAATTAAAAACAAACTAAGAAAAAAGCCTTTGATTTTAATTACTGTGCCTTTGTAATAATTTAAGAAGAAAAACTTACTGTATGTTGAATAGTCTGATTTGCCTCAGGAGAAGATAATCATACAAATATCATTATCTCAAGAGCTCTAGGTTTCATAGCAGTAAACAATGTATAGGAGATTTTCCTTTCAGTTAGTGACAAACGTGTATGTAATTAAAATTCTTCATTCATTGTTGTACCATGTTCACCTGACTGTATTTTCAGGGTCCCCTTTTCTATTGCAATTTTTCTATAAGTATTTATTTATTTAGACAGGATCTTGCTGTGTTGCCCAGTCTGGTCTTGAACTCCTGGGCTCAAGGGTTTTTCCTGTCTTAGCTTTATGAGCAGCTGGGATTAAGGGTATATATCAGTATTTAAAACAAACTCAAGTCTTGCTTATCTTTTTTTTTTTAAATATTTTTTAGTTGTTGATGTACCTTTTTTTTTCATATATTTATATGTGGTGCTGAGGATCAAACTCAGTGCCTCACAAATGCCAGCAAGTGCTCTGCCACTGAGCTACAAGCTCAGCCCCAAGTCTTGCTTATCTTATCAAAAACTTTCCCTGTATCCCATATCCTATGTCCCACTAAGAGCAGAAACCTTTCCTGTCACTGGCCCTCAATACAAACAGGTATGAACTTGTCCCTTCTCTGGCCCTCTTGATGGCTTTTCTTCAGTCTTCCCTTTTCCTTACTCTCCAGACTCAACCCCAAACAACTATATATATTGAATGTCTACCTATAACATCCCAATTTTTTAATATAGCATATTATCTTTCTTTATAATTTACAGCATAAATTTGATTTAAGGCACCAAAAGATTTGTCTTTAGATTATTCCAGTAGCTTTTCAATTCACCTCCCTCTGTAGTCAGTCCATTGTCTTCCATGTATACCTAAAATACAACTTATTATCATTTGTTTAAAACTCTCCAAAGTTTTTCCACTATCCTTAAGTTAAAATGCAAACTCCTTAATTTGGCATACAAAGTTTTTCTTTTTTGTGCTTTATATATTGCTTACATATTCCTCAGCTCATCACAGAGACTAACAATGTTGCCAAAAAAAAAAAATACAAGCTGACAAGTTAAATCTGAATTTCAGATAAACATATTGTGTATCCCATGTAATAGTATAAGCATGTGCAATACTTGGGTCATACTTATATTAAAGTATTTATTTTTTGCTATTTATCTGAATTCACATTTGACTGGGCATTCTACATTTTTATTTGCCAAATTCAGCAAGTCTGATGGCTGATATTCATGCCATCTTCATCACCCATGGTAAAACGAAGTAGGTGGGTTTGAGAGTTCTATAGGAGATAAAACTGGTGCCAGGATTTTACAATTGGATAGATAGAAAAGTAACAAAAGGGAGTGTTGAGGATCACCCCAGGTTTCTGGCTAATTCGCTCAAATTGGGACCAGATTACTGATGTGACAATTCTCAGTCCTCAATTCTCATTTTATTTAATCTCTTGATTACTTTTGTCACAGCTGGGATCACTCCCTCCTGAGGTACTCCTCTCATGGCCTCTGAGGTACCATTCTTTCCTGGTTTTCTTACTACTGCCACTAGCCAGTAACTTTGCTAGTAGACACCTCACTCTTTATTCACTTCTAAATGTTGAAGGGTCCCATTTACATTTTTACATGTTTCTTTTCTATTTATTTTTACTTCCTACATGATTCATCTAATCCTATGGCCTTAAACATCTAAAATACTAATTCTAAATATATATCTACAGTCCTAGTTTCTAAATTCCAGGCTCCTGTGTCACAAACCACCTTCATGCTATCTCAACTTGGAGGCTAATAAACCTCTCAAATTTTAAATATTTTCTCAAGCTATATCATATATACTGTAACAGTCACTAGTCTTATACGTATATGTATTCATAAATGTCACCACCATCCACATCAAGATATAAAACATTTCTAGAACCCTAGAAATTTTCCATGCATTATTTCCCAGTTAGCACCCCTTTATAGAAGTCAATACTCTGACTTCTATAATCTTGCCTGTTCTTAAACTTAAAGTAAGTGGAATTACAAAAGTAATCAAAAGATTAAATAAAGTGAGAATTGAGGACTGAGAATTGTCACATCCCTAATCTGGTCCCAATTTGAGCAAATTAGCCAAAAACCTGGGAGTGATCCTCAACACTCCCTTTCGTTACTTTTCTATCTATCCAATTGTAAAATCCTGGCACCAGTTTTATCTCTCATAAAACTCTCAAACCCACCTACTTCTTTTTACCATGGGTGATGAAGATGGCATGAATGATTAGCCACCAGACTTGCTGGATTTGGGAAATAAAGATGTAGAATTACACATACGTACATATTTGTGCCAATATTCTTTCACGCAACATATGTGAGTAAGCTAACAGATCAAATTTAATATGTCTAAAACAAGCTCTCTTCATCATTCTCCCAACTTACTCTGCCCTATATTGATTCCATCTCAATAAATAGTAACACCATTCATGTAGTGGCTAGTTGCTCAAGCCAAGAATTTAATATTTACCTTATACTTCTATTTTTCTCTCTTACCTAATATCCAGATTAATCATAAAATCCTGGCACATCTGTTTTTAGAATAGATTTCAAATGATTACTACCACTATATTGGTATGAGACTATTATCTGACCAGGGCAATAGTTTAACAAGCTCTCCTTGTTTACATTCTTCCCCTTTGCCTGTTCTCTATGTGGTAGCCAGAGTGATAATTCTAACATATGTCTAAGTATTTAGAACATCGAATAATAATACCACTTTAAACATCAAGACCATAGAAACATTGAACATAGGTGCATAGGACCCAAAGGCTGTTGGAAACTTGGGAGTTTTTTCAGCTTGGAGTTTTCTCCCCTGAGGAGGTGGTTTTAACAGTTAGATCAGTGAGAAATAGCAGTCTTCCAGATATTTAGATTATTTCTCACCTCACCACAAGATATATGAATACCCTAGAATGGTGGTGTAGAATGTGGTAGGCACCAGTCTCATGAGGCTATTTAAATTTAAATTAATTAAAATGAGATGTGACTTAAAATTAAAAATTAAAATATATACCTGATTACATCCTCCCGTTGCACTAATATGGTTTAACACACATTCACAATAAAATCCTTAGTCTTTATCACAGCATGTGAGATTTTACATTATACTACTTGACTAATTCTCTGACCACAATTTTAACCATTCATCTTCTTACTCTACTTCTGCCACATTAATCTCTTTCTTCTTCCTCAAGCATGCCAAGCACATCCCACATCTCATGGTCTTTTTGCCCCTAGATTTGCACATGGCCCACTTTCTTACTTTATTTAGCTCTGCATAAATGCTACTTCCACAAATAGGCCTATCCTGATTACCTAAAATAGCACACTAGTTACTTTCTTTACCCTGACTTATTTTTACTTATTACTCTACTTATACCTGATGATATAAATTTATTAGTTTATCTTTTTTTTTTATATTTCTCCCACCACTATACATGAACTCTATTTGGGCAAGAACCTTGTCATGTTTCCCAGCAGCTAAAATAGTTTGTGTCACATTGTAGGTACTTAATATTTGCTGAGGGAACTGAATGGTGAGTTGAGATGCCTCTGAAACAACCAAGAGGATATATCCAGAAAGCAGCTGCATAAAAGGGTCTGAACCTCAGAGGAGAGTTAGGCTGAGGGAACACTTAGAAAGCCTGCCTATAGGCCAGAATGTCTATACTTACACATCATGTGGTAGGTTAAAAAGAGATGGAGGTAGCTATGAAAATTTTCCATACTTAAAGACTAACAGCAATAGATAAGATTGCAAAGGAGCCTCAGCAGGAGTTGCCTAGGAAGTAATTTTTTGTTTGTCTCTGTTACTAGACTACAGGTTCTTGGGAGCAGGAATACAATAATTTCTCAATTTCTAACACTTAATAAAGAGCCGTTAAAGAAATGAAACATATTTGGATTTGTTGAATTAAGGAATGTGTAAAAAATGTCTATGAAGCAAGACGTGATTTATTTAATTGCAAATTTCAAGTTAATAAACACTTAAAAGTAAATACAAAAGCATACATTATTCCAGAATCACTACTCTGCCTTATCCCCATGCTTTATAAACAATATTTTCTACTGCCAAAGCAATATATTTGATTTGCCAAGACCAAGGAAAAATCATGGTTGTATCGGTATCTATCATTTTCCCTTTCATTACTTCTATTATTCACACATCCCCTTACACTTAAATCTATAAAACAAAGTCTCTTTTTTTAAATGTATTTTTAGTTATTGATTGACCTTTATTTTTATTTATTTATATGCAGTGCAGAGAATTGAACCCAGTTCCTCACACATGACAGGCAAGCACTCTGCCACTGAGCCACAACCCCAGCCCAACAAAGTCTCTTAATATTTACCCTTACTATTTTACTCCTTTCAGGATCTGTACTTTTACAAGTTTAGTTTTTATTACTAGACTAATTTTGCTAACAACAGAAATGATCTTAATCATTTTTATACTTAGAATATAAATTTTAAATATGAGAGAAAACTTACTAAAATCAATATCCTTTTCTCTTTTACACTTCCACAAATGACATTGTCCTCAGTTCTAGCTAAATATTCCTAAAATGATGACTGGCATTTAGTAAATTCTCATTAAAACAACTTCTTAAAGTGAACACTATACAAATAAAAATATATTTTTAGTCCATACAAGAACTCATATCCATCAAAAGTACAACCAGCATTTCTTATACGCATACTCTCAATGAGACACAATAAAACTTGTGACAGGAAAAAATTATAATACAAACCTAATATATAGCAGAAGTTAATAGGATGTAAATGTCATGCTATGTTTATTCTAATAATAAAATAAATAACAAAGTGCCAATAATGCAAGACACTTTGTTGATCCCATTATTTTTCAATCATCTCATATAACCACAATATATCAGTTTTCTTATTGTCCTTTTTTAGTACTGAAACTTACATGGGCAGGGAAAGTATGTCACTTCCCACTAGTATACATAATAATGCCTTAGAAGACATAATCAGTAAATATTTATTAAATGAATAAATGATGGGTGTTGTAGGGATAGTCAAGACCCTACATATCTTTATTTCTTAAATACAATCATGCTAAAAAGCCCTCAATTTCCTGGGGTAACTATTTTGTTAGTATAAGTTATACTGTAACAAAATAAAAGACATATAAAAATAATTCATTTCACTATTACCTGATTTTGAATTTGAAGTAAACTTTGGTTTTGGAGAAATACATTGGTATGCTAATGTCATCACTCTGTAATAAGAACAAATTAATAGTATTTTCTTATCATTCAGTAACTTTGAAGACTCCTCAGATATTACTTAAAATAAAGACATTCATATGTAATTAATTATTTTGTAGAAAAAATAAAATTGGTTAGAAAAAAATATCATCACATCTATAGGAACAAATAATTTCATAAGAAAAGACAACATGTTTATACATTTATCAGTGTGAGGACAATTAATTGTGTTTGAAATCAGACAGAACTGGGTTTTGCTACCTATAATTGTGTGGCCTTGAGAAAGCTGCTTAACCTGTCTTAAGTCTTGTTTACCTCATCTATGCAAAAGGGATATCAATCCTGTTTCCCAGGATTCTTATGGTTAGGATTTCAAATATGATAAATCCTTTTCTCTTTTCACAAGTAAGACCATGCTTAATTCTAACTAAACATGTAGAAGACTAGCCATTATAAGAGGAGTATAAAAACATCAACAATGGATTCCTACTAAGAAAGTTGAAAACCAAATTCAAGAAGATAATTTTCTAAACTCCTACTATCAGTTAACTGAAAAGTTAAATTCATCAGAAAATAATCTTATTCTTTTTAAAAAATTTTTTAGTTGTAGATGGACACAATATCTTTCTTTCTTTATTTATTTTTATGTGATGCTGAGGATCAAACCCAGTGCTTCACACCTGCAAGGCAAGCACTCTACCACTGAGCTACAGCCATAGCCCCCTCTTATTCCCCTCTTATTTCCCTTTAAGCTCATTCTCAGCTCTGAATGAACTATCAAGTGGATTTTTTATACTAATACTTTTAGGGTATTTTCTTGTAAAAAACACTTTTTTAAGGTAATTAAAAAAAAAAAAAACAATACAACATCACACTCAGAACATGCAGTGGAGAAAGCAACATGGTTGGTTTCTTTTTCTTTCCCCTCTGCTTTTTTGGTTCTTCTGGCATTGAATTAGAAGAAAAGAGCTGTAGAAAGGGTTTGTTGCTCTTGACTGATACTGTTATAAAATGCCATTGGTATCCTTTGGGTGTGAGAGATAACCAAATGCTGATTCTTTCCAACTTTTAAGTATTTCAAGGGGTTTGTAGGAGAATTCCCTACCAATGGGGCTTTTACACTTGTTGCTGTTTCTGATCTCAGTTTTTTCCTTTGATGACAGACCAGTCAGCCTCTTTAGATTGAGGTTGTTACCTTACCCTTTGCATTAAGGCATACTGGACATGATCTCTTTCAAAGAGGTCCAAAATTGGCTCCCTTCTTTAGAATTCATGTCTGACCTATAGGTATTGTGCACAAATCTTTGTTGTGACAAACTCTGAAAGTACCTCTAACTTCCTATTCTTCCATTTCAAAGAATCTAACTCTTGCCTTTAGATTTTTCAGGTGTGAGTCAGCAACTAAATTCCAAGGGATATAGCTGACTGTTCTAAATGGTCCTCTTGAAGCTTCTTACTTGTGTTGAGATGAGGAAAAAAATCTGCACACTCCTTGTACATGACACAAATAACTAGTATTAAAGAAACAGGCATTCTTGAGGTCTTTTCTGACTTTTAACTCTTATGGCTTATTTATTTTTGTTCTAACTCCCTTTCCTCTTTTATATATATATATATATCTCCTATAAAAAACTAATTTATTTGATCATTTTTTTACAGCTTTATTGAGATATAATTCATACATAATACAATTCATTAATTTAATGTGTAAACTTCAATAGTTTTTAGAATATGCATAGTGTTATGTATCTATCATAATCACAACCAATTTTTGATCATTTTCATCACCCCCAAACAAAACATTATACCTATTTCCATTAGCAGTTAATCACCATTTCTTTCCAAACCTCTGAGCTTTAGGCAATTACTAACCAGCTTTCTGTCTGCATTTATTTGTGTATTATGGACACCTCAGATGAATATAATCATAAAATATGTGGTCTTGTGTGACTGTCTTTTTTCATTTAGCATAATAATTTCAGGGTTGATTCATGTTGAGGCCTACACCAGTATTTCATTCATTTTTATTGCTGAACAATATTTCATTATATGTATATACCATATAATATTTACTCATTCATAAGTAAATCAACAGCTGGGCTGTTTCTACTTTTTTGGGAATTATGTATAAAGTTGCTATGAACATTCATGTGTAAGTTTTTGTGTAGACATGTGTTTTTATTTCTCTTAGGTTTGTGTATCTAGAAGTAGATTGCTGAATCATATGGTAACTACATGTTTAACATTTTGAGAAACTGCCAAATTTTTTCAAAGCTGCTTCACTATTTAAAATTCCTACCAGCAATGTCTGAGGAAGAATACATTTCAATTTCTCCACATCCAATAATTCCATCTGTTATCGCCTGTCTTTTTTTATATTTATTTTTTAGTTGTAGGTGTACACAATATCTTTATTTCATTTTTAAGTGGTGCTGAGGTTTGAACCCAGTGTCTCATGTGAGCTAGGCAAGCACTCTACCCCTGAGCCACAATCACAGCCCCTACAATCTATCTTTTTGATTTTAGCTTTCTTAGAAAGTGTGAAGTGGTATCTTGTAGTTTTGGTTTTCTTCCCTAATGGTTAATGATACTGAACATTTTTTCATGTTCAGATCCTTTGTCCATTGTTAAACCGGCTTATTTGTCCTTTTATTGTTATATGAATTCTTTATATATTATGGATATAAGTCCCTTATCAGATATAGAATCTGAAAACATTTTCTCCCATTCTGTGGTTTGTCTTTTTCATCTACCTGATGGTGTCTCCTATCTTTGTTTTTAAACTTATATGAATTTTCTGTAAGTTCTTTCAAATTCTTTGAGGGTTAACACATTTTAAAAATTTCATAATGTGCTACAGTCCTACTGAAAATTGGTCAGAGGCTGTCAACACATTCAGGATAAAATAAAAAAATCCCAGGCCTTAAGGTCATACATGATCCAGACTGTGACCACCTCCTTCAATCTACATCTTGTCTCTCTCATGAAGCACCCTCTACCATTTAGTCCACATGCCACAAATAAAACTCTTTCTCTACTAATATGCCTGTCCTCAGTGTTCCCTGTCTTAATAATTGGTAACTCCATTCTTTTCTTTTTTCCTTGAAGGAGCTCCCAAAGCAAGAAATATTGACATCATTTTTTGAATAACAATAGTAATTGCATCTGGTACAGACTTGTTTGAATTAAATCCTAATAGATATAATGTTTTTAAGTCCATTACATGCATAATTCATCATTATTTGTTCCCAGGAGTCAACAAAAGTCAATCTTTTCTTAAGCTTTAACAAAGCTACAGTGTGTATTTTGTGAAAATTCCTAAGGCAATACTGAACACTACACTGGGATGGCAGGTCTTTTTGGTAATTTACAATGAACAGATTATTTTTCAGACTACTAAGAATATAAAGAATTATAAGTCTAAACAATTTAGTAAAAATGATACAATTATTTGTAATCCATAGTATTGATTATTTTCCCACAATAGTGCATTTCAATTTAGCAAAGAAAATGTGCCTTGCCACCATAAACATACATTGGAGAAAAGATAGCCTCTTCAACAAATGGTGCTGGGAAAACTGGAAATCCATATGTAGCAGAATGAAACTGAACCCCTATTTCTCACCCTACACAAAAATCAACTCAAAGTGTGGATCAAAGACGTAGACATTGGACCAGAGACCCTGTGCCTACTATAAGAAAATGTAGGCCCAACTCTCTCTTCATCATGTTGGCTTAGGAACCGACTTCCTCAACAAGACTCCTAAAGTACAAGAAGTAAAATCAAGAATCAATAAATTCGATAGTATCAAACTAAAAAGCTCTTCACAACAAAGGAAACAATCAAGAATGTGGAGAGCCTACAGAATGGGAGAAATTGTTTATCACCTGTACCTCAGAGCATTAATCTCCAGGATATACAAAGAACTCAAAAAATTTCACACACACACACACAAAAAAAAAAACCACCCAAATAACCCAATCAATAAAGGGGAAAAATAACTGAACAGGCACTTCACAGAAGAAGAAATATGAATGGCCAACAAATATATGAAAAAATGTTCAACATTTCTTTGCAATTAGAGAAATGCAAATTAAAACTACACTGAGACTGCCATTTCACTCCAATCAGAATGGCAATTATCCAAGGATACAAGTAACAATGAATGTTGGTGAGGATGTGGGGAAAAATGTTACTCATATATTGCTGGTGGGAATGCAAATTGGTGCAATCACTAGGGAAAGCAGTATGGAGATTTCTTAAGAAATCTGGAATTGAACCACCATTTGACCCAGTTATTCCACTCCTTGGTATATATTCAAAGGACTTAAAATCAGCATATTACAGTGATTCACCACATCCATGTTTACAGCAGCTCAATTCATAATAGCTAAGCTATGGAACCAAACTAGACACCCTTCAAAAGATAAATGGATAAGAAAATGTGATGCATATACACAATGGAATATTACTCAACCATAAAGAAGAATGAAATTATGGCATTTGCCTGTAATGGATGAAACTGGAAAATATCATGCTAAGTGAAATAAGGCAGTCCAAAAAAACCAAAGGCTGAATATTCTCTCTGATATGTGGATGTTGACACACAACAAGGTAGGGTGGAGAACAGAAGTTCTTTGAATTATACAAAGGGGAATGAAGGGAAGGGAGGGGAAATGGAAATAAAAAAGAGTAAAATAAACTGGACACAACTTTTCTGTGTTCATATATGAATACACAATCACTGAAACTTCACCTCATGTTCAGCCACAAGAAAGGGATCCTAATTAGAATAAGTTATACTCCATGTATGTATAATATGTCAAAATACACTCTACTGTTATTTGTATCTAAAAATAACAAATAAAAAAACTTAATTGCAAAAAAAATGTGCTTTGCAGTCTTTTTTTCCTTAACTTTATTTTATTTATTTATTTTTATATGGTGCTGAGGATTGAACTCAGGGCCTCACACATGCTAGGCAAGCACTCTACTGCTGAGCCACAACCCAAGCCACAACCCAACCCTGCAGTCTTCTTGCTTTAAGAGCAAAAGAGAAATAATTTTGGAAATTGAGCAAGGACTAGAATAGAATGTCAACTTTATAATTTTGCAGAAAGCAAAACTAACAGAAAAACAAGGAAGGAAAGAACAAGATTGGAGTTATTACAATTAGTACATTAAAGCAAAATCAAATTTGCTTATTAATGGCAAATGTGAATAAATAAACACTTGACTAATTTCTACAAATGAAACTTAGACATGCTATTTGAGTTTAAACCAAATAACTTCAATGAGATAAAAAGTATATTAGAAGAGTTTTGCAAAATGCTATTTTATAGATCTATTAAGTTGAAATTGTGGAATCAGCTTAACTATATCTTCCCATACCTCACCATTCGGTCCACTACCAGATCTTGTTAGTTTCACTTTCAAAATACATTCAAAATCTAACCATAGGGCTTGAGCTGTGGCTCAGTGGTATCGAGTGCTTGCCTTGCATGTGTGAGGCCCTGGGTTCAATCCTCAGCACCACATAAAAATAAATAAAGATACTGTGCCTAAAAAAAAAAAAAATCTAACCATAACTCACCACCTCTGCTCTTCTCATTCTAGTCCAACTCTAATATCCCTTGTTTAGATTAGTGCAATAGCCTCTTATCATCTCCCTAATTCCTTGCCTCCTCATAATCTATTTTGATTGACAGCAGCTAGAGCAATTCCTCTAAAACATGTCATCTTGTGTCATATTTCAAAGGTTTCCAAGTTCACTTCCGTTGACCTACAATGTAACAACAATAACTCACCTGGCCGCCTGCTGCTTCTCTTACTTCATTTTCTCTTTCCACTCCAGAAGCTCAGGCCTTCTTGTCTTAGGGCCCTCTTCTGGCTTTTCTTTCTCCTAGAATGTGCTTTCCTCAATTTACAATATCTCTTTCTTTAATATCCGCCCCAAAGCTGCCTTTTCAATGACAATTTCCCTGACCATACTATTTAAAATATCAAATTTCCACCTCAAAATTCCCTGGTCCCCATCTTGCTTTATTTTTCTCCATTATCATTCAATACAATATAACAGTATAAATCCATTTGCTTATTTGTTTATTGTCCATCTCTTTTAACTAGAATTAAAACCAAAAGTTTTTAATAAATTTTGTGTACTACTGTACGTCCAACAACTAGAACAATCCAGTTACTAATGAGGCCTCAACAAATACTGAATGAATGAACTTCTGAGTTTGTAGACTGACCAACATACTTGCCATATAACTGTTAGAATACAGGGGTTTAAAAAGCACAACTTTAGGGGCTGAGGTTGTGATTCAGTGGTAGAGCGCTTGCTTATTAGCATGTGTGAGGCACTGGGTTCAATCCTTAGCACCACATAAACAGCAAGTAAATAAAATAAAGTATAAAAAAAGAACAACTTTAAAATTTTTAGTTCTTACTTTTTTCTGTGGCATTTTTGATAGTTTTCTAAAGAGGTGTCTAGGAAAGAAAAAAGTCAATATTAGAAATATATATAAATTCTAAGACAAACCAGAAGCTAAAATTACTCTAGGTAAAAATACATATTTCTCCAACCACAGATAGATATAATGCAGTTTATTTTTTTATAATTATATTGTTTTTATACCTTCCAGTTAAATTAGATAAAAGTATTTTCAAATTATCAAAGTAAAACAAAAAATGTTACAAAATTCTATGAGATACAGGAATCATGTCACTTTGTATTGGGACAGTTTTTAAAAAATAATTTTGGTCTTTTTACATCTTAGGATTTTTACAATAATCCTATCAGTCAAATATACCATTTTATTATGCTAATTTTACATATAAGAAAATAATAACTGGCCAAGTTACAAAACTAACAGCTAGATACCTGAAATTTAAACTCTGGCTTCATGGTTCTTAGCCCCATATCAAATTCTAGAGATGCATTCTAATAGATTAATTAATCACAAGCCTGACTCTCAACCAACATATTACTGCCTCAACCAACATATTACTGTTCCTAGGAATATAATTAGTTAGTCTACAGATGTTAGAGAAGTTGCAGAATTTAAAAATAAGAACTTTTAAGGAGAGATGACACACTTCCTTGAGAGGGAGGTCCTCAACACATAGAGTGGTCATTTAATCATTCAGCATCTACTCTTTTTTTCCTGATTTTTCTTTTGATTGTCCAGCCATAGTCTATACCTTGCATCTTCCTGGCCAAAGTTACCGGGTCAGGGATAGGAATATATAACAATTTAAGTCAACGTGGAAGGGTTGGGGCTTCTGTTCAAACAGTCAGAAAAGAGAAGCACTTTTTTCATTGAATTTGAGGCTGTGAGCATATAAGTCTGGGGCTAGAAAGAATTGCTACATGAAGGGACTTGGCTGAGAGTATAACTAACACAAAGCAATCCTGAGCTAAGAGATGGAGAAGAATCTGGTTCTACTGATACATTTGAAATCCTGGATCAAACTGTATATACAATTAGATTTTTTGCATATTTTTATTTATTTAAAATTTGATTACATTTTCCACATCATTAGATTTACTACTGGGTTTTTCAGGTACATGTGGCAATAAATTCTCTTTTTAACTGAATATAGTTTGAGTTAGGGAATTTGTTTTTTCATCAGCAATGGACAAAAAACTCTATAACCAAAACACTTGCTAAAGTGACAGGTTGTTTCTTTGAATAATTTATATCAGCAAAGAAGTTGCCAAACTAAACAGAAGAAGAGGCTTTCAGTGTAATAAATACTGTCACCCAGGAAACTATAGACTTTCCCATAAGAACCCCTAACCCAGCATTTAGTTCTTACACTGATATTCTTCTACCTAGTGCAACTCTAACAACTGGGCTGACAACATCCATTCCTACTCCCCCCTCTCCATTTTTTTTTCCATTTTCCCAATGGCTTCTACCACTACAGAAGTTAGAAAACTAAAATACTTAGTTTCAGCCTCCATAGTAGTAGGTAGATACTTGATCCAGTTCTGGCCAATAAGTCTGCGGGAGAATTTCTGGGATTGGTTTTGCTTGTCTGGAGATATGCATGGCTACTACTGCCCTTTCAGATTCCTTTTGCCAGCAGCATGGCTGTAAAGCCTAGAGATTTAGTAGCTATCTTTATAACTATGGAGTAACAAGCTGACATACTTGGTAGCTGAAAGATATTAAGAGCCTAGCATCTTGATCCCATTAGTGAGTGGCTAAACAAGCACTGGACTGGTGTACAAGAAAAGTAAACTCAATATAAACATTTTTTTTTTGCATGGCAAAAAGTACCATAAACAAAAACTAGGAGAAAAGACTCACAAATTTATTGAAATATACCAATTTATTACCTGCATTTATACCACAGATAGAAGGTTAATATCCTTAATATATAAAGAACTGTTAAAACTGTGGCTAAGGGTTGAGTGTATGTCACTCAGTGGTAGAGCCCTTGCCTAGGATACTTGGGGCCCTAGATCCAGTAATGAATAAAAAATATTGATGATTAAGGATTAAAAAAAGGTTAAAAATGGGGAAAATGAATGAAGAGAAAACTTATACATGAAAATTTTAAAACTCAAAATGGTCCTCAAACATATGAAAAATTTTAAACTCACATAAAATCAGAAAAATGCAAATTTAAGTAACAGAGATATCACTTATACACATTCAGGTAGCATAATTTTAAAGTATGACAATACATCCTGTTGGCAAGTATATGAGAGACACACCCTTTCAAACATTGCTAGTGGGAAAGCAACTGATATGACCTTTCTGGAGAAAAGTTTGGCAATATCCAACAAATCTATACATCCACTTATCTTTCAAACTTGCCATCTGCCTCTGGGCTAACAATAAGAAAATCCATATCATAGTTTATTCATCACAGCATTTTTGTGGCGGAAAAATGTTGGGAAAAAATTAAATACCCAATTCACAAGAGAGTGGTTAAAAAAAAAAAAGGAATAGGCACACAGAGTACTATTGTGAGAAAGAGCTCTATAAACTGTTCTATAACCTTTAGGGAATGATTTCTAGTATAGACTGTTAAGTGGAAAATATAAAGTAAACAAGAGTACCTATACAGTGTAAATCCTTCATGTAAACAACAGCAATATGTAAAGAAATATACCAGTATTTACTTGTTTGTACAAAAGAAATACAGGAAGGATACACCAGAAACCAAACAGATTGATTACTTATAAGGAGCAAGTGTAAGTGGGTAAAAAGAAGAGAATGGGATAAGGGTGGCAAGGAGAAGTGATAAATTTCTAATAACTTTTTTTTTATACTGGAGATTCCCAGAAGCATCTCTGTGAAATTCTTACCAAAAATTGCATAACTTAATTACAATCATGAGAGAACATAAAGAAAAATCCAAAGTGAGGGAACTTCTACAAAATAACTAACCTAGTCAGTTATCTTCAAAACTATTCAGATTATGAAAAAACAAAAACAAACTATTCGGATTATGGAAGATTGAGAACTGTTACAAAATGCAGGAAACTAAGAAGAATTAATAAATGCAAAGGGGATCCTAATAAGGATCCTGAAACAGAGTAAGAGACGTCAGTGGAAAAACCAGTGAAATTTGAATAAGGTCTGTAATTTAGTCAATAGTTCTATATCAGTGTTAAAATCCTGGTTCTAATCATTGTACTACCATTATAATAAGATAACATAAGAGGCTGGGCACAGTGGCACATGACTGTCATATCAGTGGCTCAAGAGTCTGAGGCAGGAGGATTGCAAGTTCAAGGCCAGTCTCAGCAATTTAGCAAGGCCCTAAGAAACTTAGTGAGACCCTATCTCAAAAAAAAAAAAAAAAAAAAAAAAAAGGCTGGGGATGTAAGTCAGTGGTAAAGTAAAAAAAAGAAAGGAAGAAAGATAGATAATACTAGATGAGAGACATAGTGGAATCCCCGTACCATTTTTCTACAAATTATTCTGTAAGTCTGAAATTAGTTCAAAATAAAAAGTTATAAAAAGTAAACTCATGCATACTTATACTACTATTATTATTTGTAGCTAAAGTTAATCAAAATTGGTAAGTTCATCTTAGAAATATTCAGGAGGAAAAATATGCTGTTTTTCCAGTATAGACGAGGGATTTTCACCCTGTAACATGAGATAAATGAATTTTAAAACTCACTCAGAATTGCAGAGAAGTCTGAAAACTGTGGCACCTTCTCTATTGTTACTGCTTTACTGGTATCCAGAAGAGTAGAGTTCTTGCATTGCTTTTGTTCTTTCATCTTGGGATACTCCCAATCTAAGAAAGCAGGGGTGAAATGATTAAAAACTTTCAATGACAGATGACAAAGTGGCAGGTTATTTCCCCTCCTCAAGTTAGAGCCCCACTCCACAACAAAGTCGGGTAATTAAAGGTTTTGGAAGAAATAGAACAAAAGACAATCCTTGACACCATCAAGATAAGAAATAATCTATGGTTTGTTGCAGTTCTCTGTCTTTGTCTTCCTTCCTAGATTTTTGCTCCACAAAGATTACTGATCTGAGAAACAGACAGCATACATGCAACCATCTGATTCTCATACTTTATGTATGTTATGCCTATATATCCCATTAAATATCATTTAACTAAGCAGCATACCTATACTGCTATTCCTTGATATCAGTTTTAAGCTCTCAATTGACTTCCCTTTATGGAGGAAAGAAGCTATTCTCCTCTTACAGTTCCCTGTTCCCACTGTTTCCACTGTCCATATACTGTCACATCTTACAGTTAGATCAAAATTCAATCTAAATATTATGATGGTAAAATATTACTAAAATGCTCTTTACTCTTGGGGTGTACCATGACCATCTTTTGTTTTCCCTAAAGTCAGTCTTTTTTCTCTCATTGCTTTAAGTTTCTGGGTGTTTTTCATCTACTTAATCTCAAACTCTTCCAAACTGTACAAATCCATTCCATTAATTTCATTCCCTGGTATTCTGAAGTTCATAATGCTGTGCCTTATTTCATAATGAGTACTAGCACACTGTAGTCCTTTTAATCCACAAACTAATGTTCTTTAGCTCTAGAAAATATTCTTGAGTTATTTCCTTGATATTTAATTATCTTCTCTCTGAGTTTTCATTAACTTTTTCTGGAACTCCTATTTATTTGAAGTTGGACTTCATATTTGGTTCCTCCAACATTTTTTTCTTCCAAATTTCTATCTCTTTGTTTCCCCCTTTTCCCATTTCATTTTTTTTTTATTTTTTAAAGTTGTAGATGGACATGATACCTTTATTTTATTTATTTATGTGGGTGCTGAGGAACAAACCCAGTGCTCCACGCATCCAAGGCAAGCGCTATACCACTGAGCCACAACCCCAGCCCCATTTCAATTCTTTTTTATGGGAAATCTATTCAACTTTATCTTTTAACCCTTTAACTCAGTTTTCCATTCTGTTATTGCATTTAATTACTGGCAATATTCTATTTTTATAGCATCCTATTCTTATTTAATGAACACAACAAATTAGGGAAAGTCTTTCATCAATGACAACTTTAAAAAATATTTTCTTCTTATTATTTTTATTTCTGCTTGGCTCCCTTATACAATCTAATTTCTTGGCAAATTTTTAAATATTGTTCACTATAGGCACAGTGTTATATACAAGATATTATGATGGTAAAAAAATTTCTATTCAACTTAATACCTCTTGAATAGAAACTCCTCATTTTCCTCTCCTACACCTCCTATCAAGCACCATTCTGCTCTCTGCTTCTATGATTTTATCTAGCTTAGATACCTCATATACATAGAATTATAGAATATTTGTTCTTCTATGACTGGATTATTTCACTCAGCATAATGTCCTCAAGGTTCACTCATTTTGCCACAAATGAAGTATTTCTTTTTTTAAGGCTGAACAGTATTCCATTGTATGTGTATATCAAACTTTTCTTTATCCACTCATCTGTCCATGGACCTCTAGGTTGTTTCCATATCTTGGCTATTGTGAACAATGCTTCAAGAAAATGGAAGAACCAATAATTCTTTGAGATCTTGACTTCAACACAGAAGAGATTGCTAGATCATTCTAAATCATTCTAATTCTATTCTTAATTTTTAGAGAAACTTTGATAGTTTTTCATAGCTACTGCACCACTTTACATCTCCAACAACAGTGAAGAAGGGTTATAGATTATTCCCATGCCTGCCAATATGTTATTTTTTGTTTTTTGATAGTAGTCATTTTAACAGATGTGAGGTGTCATCTCATTATGATTTGGATTTGCATGTTGCTGATTATTAGTGATGCTGAGCATTTCTTTTTTGTTTACCTGCTAGCTATTTCTGTGCATTCTTTGAAGAAATGTCTATCAAGGTTTTTTGCCCATTTTACTGTTTTGTTTTGTTATTGAGTTGTAGAAGTTCCTTATATATTTTAGGTGTTAACCCCTTTATCAGATATATGGTTTACAAACATCTTCTCCCATTCTTCAGGCTGTCTTTTCACTGTTGTTTCTTTTACTGTGAAGATGTTTTATAGTTTTATGTACTATTATCTGTCTTTTGTTTTTATTTTCTGTACTATTGAGTCACATTGAAGAAATCCTTACTAAAGAAAATTGTCATGAAGCCTTTCCTGTGTTTTATTCTGGGAATTCTACAGTTTTAGTTCTTATGTTTAAGTCTTTAATCCATTTTGAGTTGATTTTTGTGTGTAGCATAAAGGTCCAATTTCATTCTTTTCCATATGAATAGCTAGCTGTACCAATGGTATTTGTTGAAGAGATTATCTTTTATTTATTGTATACTTTGTCAAAGATCAATTGACCACACACACACACACACACACACACACATACACACACATATGGGTTGATTTATGGGTTCTTCATCCTACTAGTCTATGTTTCTGCCATACTGTTTTGATGACAGTATGATGGTAACATTATTTTAATTATTATAGATTTGCAATATATTTGAAATCAAGAAGTCTGGTTTTCCTATTTTATTTGCATTTCTCAAGATTGTTTTGCCTACTTGGGGTCCTTTGTGGTTCCATAGGAATTTTAGGATTTATTTTGTATTTCTATAAAAAGGGCCATTGAGATTTTGATAAGGATTACATTGGATTTGTAAGGTTGTTTTGGATACATGAACATTTTATCAATAGTAAATCTGTGAATCTATGAGTACCTGATGTTTTTCTACTTGTATTTTAATTTCTTTCACTATTTTAGAATTTACAATGTTTTGGAATTTAACCCTATAAGTTTATCCTTAAATATTTTATTCTTTTAAAAATATTTTTTAGTTATATATGGCCTCAATACCTTTATTTTTATTTATTGTTTTTTTGTGTGGTGCTGAGAATCGAACCCAGTGCCTCACATGTGCTAGGCAAGCACTCTACCACTGAGCCACAACTCCAGCCCCAAATATTTTATTCTTTTTGATGTCATTGTAAATAGGATTATTTTCTCAATTTACTTTTTTAAAAAAATTCTTTATAGTTGTAGATGGACAGCATGCCTTTATTTATTTTTTAATGTGGTACTGAGGATCAAACCTAGTGCCTCACTCTCTATCACTGAGCTACAGCCATAGCCCTCAATTTACTTTTTATTTAGTTTGTTATTAATGTAAAGAAATGCAACTGACTTTTGTGTTGATTTTGTATCTTGCACCATTACTAAATTTGTTTATTCAAATAAGTTTTTGTAGAATCTTAAGGGTTTTTTAACATATAAGATCAAAGTTCATATATATTGAAAATAGAGGTAATTTTATTTCTGCCTTTTCAATTTGGATGCTTTTAATTCTTTTTGATGCATAATTGATCAACACTGTGCTAAACAGAAGTGGTAAAAGGAAAATATATTAGTTATTTTTTTAAATCATTCAGTATGTTAGCTGTGAGCTTTTCTTATATAGTCTCTATTATGTTGAGGTAATTGACTTCTCTTTCTCATTTGTTAAGTTTTTACCATAAAAGCATTCTGTCAAATGTTTCTCTTGCATCTATTGAAATGATTACACAATTTTTATCCTTCATTCTATATGATGTATTACATTTATTTGTAATCGAAACATCCCTGCATCTCAGGGATGAATGCCTCTTGGTCATGGTGTAGGATCCTACTAATGTGCTGTTGAATACAGAGTGCTAATATTTTGTTAGAATTTTTGCATCTATTTTCATCAGGGATATTGATCTATAGTTGTCTTTTCTTGTAATATTAGTTTGGCTTTGGCATGAAGGTAATGCTGGTCTTGTAAAATGAATTTGGAAATGTACCCTCCTCTAATTTTTTTTGAAGAAATGGCATTACTTTTTAAAAACTGTTTGGTGGGATTTGCTCATGAAGCCATGTAGTCCTGGACTTTTCTTTGTTGGGAGGTTTTTTGACTACTGATTCAATTGTCCTTTCTTATCATTGGTCTGTTGAGACTTTCTATTTCTTCATGATTCAGTCTTGGTATGTTATATTTCTAGGAAATTATTCATTTCTTGTAGGTTTTTCATATGTTGTCACATAATTATCCATAGTTGTCTTTTGTGATCCTTTTTATTTCTGTGGCATCAGTTGTAATGTTTTGTCATTCACTTATAATTTTATGAACTTGTATCTCCTTTTTTTCTTGGTAAGTCTAGCTAAAGGTTTGTAATGCTGTTCATCTTTTCAAAAACTCTTAGTCTTTTTTTCCATTGTTTTTCTATTCTCTATTTCATTTCTGTTCTAATTTTTATTATAGCTTCCCTTCTGCTAACTTTGGGATTTGTTTGTTCTTTTTCTAGGTCCTTTATGAGTAATTTTACCTTGTTTGAGATTGTTCTTTTTTATTGTAGTTATTGCTACAAAACTCCAAGTACTGCTTTGGCTATATTCCATGATTATGTTGATTTTTTTAATAATATTTTTTAGATGTTGATGGATCTTTATTTACTCATTTATATGGAGCTCCAAACTGAACCCAGTGCTTCACACATGCTAGGCAAGCACTCCACCTCTGAGCTGCAAACCAGCTTCTTTTTTTTCATATTTTTTTAGTTGTCAATGGACTTTTTTACTTTATTTATTTATTTATATGTGCTGCTGAAGATCGAACCAAGGGCCTCACACATGCCAGACAAGCACTCTACCACTGAGCCATAGTCACTGAGCCCCACTGATTCTTTTTTTTAATATAATTTTTTTTGAGAGAGAGAGAGAGAGAATTTATTTTTAATATTTATTTTTTAGTTTTCGGCAGACACAATATCTTTGTTTGTATGTGGTGCTGAGGATCGAACCCGGACCGCACGCATGCCAGGGGAGCGCGCTACCGCTTGAGCCACATCCCCAGCCCCAGCCCCACTGATTCTTTATTCTTGAATCACTGTATTGAATTTTTAAGTTCAGTTATTATGTTATTTTGCTCCAAGATTTATTTGGCTCTTTTAAAAATTTTTCTCTTAGCCAAGCACAGAGGCACATGCCTATAATCCCAACAGCTTGGAAGGCTGAGACAGGAGGATCATGAGTTCAAAGCCATCCTCAGCAAAAGCGAGGCACTAAGCAACTCAGTGAGACCCTGTCTCTAAATAAAAATACAAAATAGGGCTGGGGATGTGGCTCAGTGGTCGAGTGTCCCTGAGTTTAATCCCCAGTAACCCGCCCCCCCACACCAATTTTTTTTCTTTGTTCAAATTTTCACTTTGTTCATGTCAATTTTAATTTCATATATTTAGGTGCTCTGATGTTAGGTGTATATATACATTGTATACGCTATATCTCCCTAGTGAGTTGACCCTTTTATCATTACACATTGTCCTTCCATATCTCTCATTTCTATGTCTCATATTAATATAGCCTGGCCTGAATAAACAGTTCTCTGGAGCTTCATTTGGCATCTTTATGATTAATATTTTGAATTAGTTGTCAGATAATTTCTTGTTTTAATAAGTTTTATATTTCTGTGACCAAAAGACATTTATTGTCTACTTAGAACTACTTAGAGGAGGAAAAGTATATTTTGGCTTGGGGTTTCAGAGTTTCAGTCAATGGTTGGTCAACTTCATTCTTTGGGCCCGAGGGAAGGCAAAACATCATGGCAGAAAGGCATGGTGTAAGCAAGATGCACAGTTCATGACAGTAAGGAAGTAGAGAGAGCATTGTTCACTGGGGACAAAGTAAACCCCAGAAGCATATCCCCAGTGACCTACTTACTGTTTCCAGTCCCACCTGTACCTGTCTACAGTTACCACTCAGTTAATCCATGTTGTTGAAAAGTAAGGAAGTACATGAGATAATAGATAATCTATAAAGTTCAGGAGAACAAGTATATATTCATTACATACAAAATTGATTAATAATAAAATGTGTATGTAAGTGCTAAATGACATTTCTCCATTATTCCCTGACCTGAGGGCTCTTGCTGTATATTCCTATGTGACTAAGCATGAAACACAATGGTAGTAGTCAGGGTATAGATGAGTTGGTATCGAAGAGAAGTATGTCTTCTCAAAAGGAACATTCATTCACTGGAAGATTTGTAGATAAAGGAATAATTTCTACAGTGCAGCAAATTAAGGTTGAAATTATATTCTCACCAAAATAATCTGATCCTCTGAACAGTTCAGGTGATGAGAAACTATCTAATTCCTCTTCAATACTCTTGTGTTCTGTGTAAGACTCTGTGGTTGAACAGCTCAGGAGAGAACTGGAAACATCACATGGCAAACTTAGTCCTACAGAATCAAATACAAACAAAAGGGTAAACTGTTTTAATAGAAAACAGACTTGAAATCCTAAGAATTCAAATTCATAAAAAGTACATGCAGTGTACACTATGAATATAAGACTGCTTCCACAAACAAATTAAAAGCCAAATATTAAAATCCACTTTAATTTGATTATATATATAATTGAATTCAGAGGCACTTAACCACTGAGCAACATTCCCAGCCATTTTTGTTTTTTTATTTTTAATTTTTATTTTTTAATTTTTTTAAATTGTTGACAGAGCTTTATTTTATTCATTCATTTGTATATGGTGCTGAGAATAGAACCCAGTGCCTCACACATGCGAGGCAACTGCTCTACCTCTGAGCCACAGCTCCAGCCCAGTCCTTTTTATTTTTATTTTGAGACAGATCCTTGCTAAATTCCTGACTAGCTTTCAACTTGCAATCCTCCTGTTTTAGCCTACTGAGCTGCTGGGAATATAGGTGTGTGCCACTGCACCTGGTGAAATAATTATTTTTGATATTAACAAAATCATTATAATCTGTTGTTTTTCAAATTTTAGTTTGATGACTTACTCCTTTTCCAATTTTGATTCTTGATTAAAAATTCAAGTTCTACATACAAGTAATTCATCAATTGTAAGCTAACTAGCTAAGGAGTGAAAAGGGTAAACCTAGTTATTTCATCTAAAAAACAGTGAGTCTACATATAGACAAACAGATCAAAGAAACTGAATAGATAGTCTAGGAATAGACTCACATATATATAAGCAACTGGTTATTTTTCATTTATAGAAAATACCATTTATTCCATACAAAATGAAGTACACATTAAAAAAAGTAAGAACCTGCTACATGAGGACAGCAGTAAAATCCCAACTATTAGTAAAAATTCATTTTGGAAACTTATTTTTAATCAATTTTTAAAAGGAATTTAGTGGCAAAATGTTACTCTTTTAAACAAATTGCACCAGAACAACTGGATATCTATATGCTTAAATAAAATAAAACAAAAAACTTCACATTCACAGTATCCATCATCATATAAAAATTAACTCTAAATGGATCTCAGACCTAAAAGTAAATCCTAAAACTATAAAATATCTAGAAAAATATGGAAAAAATTGTGAGACTGGATTACATAAAGATTTCTTTGATAAATCACTAGAGGATGGATGATTCATAAGACAACAGCAAGGATAAATTGGACTTAATCAAATTTAAAAACTTCTCTTCAAAAGAAACTTAAAAAGAAAGGAAAAGCTATAGATAGGGAGACATTTGCAAATAAAATGAAATCTCAGCATATACAGAACTTTGAAAACTCAAAAATCAGAAACAAACATCCCAATAAAAAATGGGTGAAGTATCTGAACAAAGACTCTCCCAGACCAAGAGGCCTCAAATAAATTCTATGATAGTGAACTAGACTGAAGAACTTTCCAATGAAGATAGAAAACAATATGCAGAGCTTAGGAAAACCAGAGGGTTTAATAGGAATAGGGAAAATATACTGTTAAATTTAGTCAGCATTCATTAAACACTTCCAACATGACAAGACAGATGTCAACACTGATAGAAACTGGTGAGGTGAAGAGGTTAAGGATCAAAAGGGAACACTGCTCTGAATACCTGTTGTTTCCTTCATAGAACTCACTTACGTCTATCACATGTCTTATGTCTTTCTATTACCTTTCTGAGACAACTAACTCTTTGCCCTTTATCCCTCACTTTTTTCTCCTATTCCAACCTTTTTGTTCAAGATGGAAAATGTTTTTTTATCTTTTCCAACCACACCCACTGCAACACTTAAATTGATTGACCCAATCTACCATCCTTCTTTATAGCTTCAACTGTTGCAGGTAGGTTATCCCTCCCTACTCCAAATGTCCTAGAGTGACCTGCCCGTCCTTGCTACCTTTCACACTCTTCTTTCTGTGTCTTCATCCACTCATATGTTATATCTGTCTTGCCTTCTACTGCTCAAAATTTCATGAATACTTCTCAGCAGAGCTATTCCTTCCACCAAACGCTAAAACTCAAGTGAGGTTCAGATATAAGAAAAGCCCTGTACTCACCATCTGGGTAGTTGGGTAAAGAAAAGAATAAATAAATGTTCATGCTGTATCAGTGGGAGGTTGTTCCTTGTGTCACAAGTTAGAAATTTTTTTTATTAAATTACTTATTTATTCTAATTTGTTATACATGATGGCAGAATGCAATTCATATAGACACATATAGAACACAATTTTTCAAGTCACAGATTGTACACAAAGTATTTTCACACCATTCGTGTCTTCATACATGTACTTTGGGTAATGACATCTAACTCATTCCACCATCATTCTGACGCCCTTGGCCCTTCCCTTCCCTTCCCTTTGCCCTATCTAAAGTTCTTCCATTCCTCCCGTGCTCCCTCACCACTGCCTTTATGAGTCAGCATCCTCATATCAAAGAAAATATGCAGCCTTTGGTTTTGGGGGGAATTGGCTTACTTCACTTAGCATTATATTCCCAGTTCCATCCACTTAACCTGCAAATGCCATGATTTTATTCTCTTTTATTGCTGAGTAATATTCCATTGTGTATATACCACATTTTCTTTATCCATTCATCTACTGAAGGGCATCTAGGTTGGTTCCACAGTTTAGCTATTGTGAATTGTGCTGCTCTAAACATTGGTGTGGCTGTGTCCCTGTAATATGCTGTTTTTAAGTCCTTTGGCTATAGACAAAGGAGTGCATAGTTGGGTCAAATAGTGGTTCCATTCCCAGTTTTCCAAGGATTCTCCATACTGCTTTCCGTTTTGGCTGCACCAATTTGCAGTCCCACCAGCAATGTATGAGTGTGCTTTATTCCCACATCCTCACCAACACTTATTGTTGTTGTATCCTTTTTTTAAATACCTTTACTTTATTTATTTATTTTCATGTGGTACTGAAGATCGAACCCAGGGCCTTGCACGTCTTAGGTGAGCTCCCTACCACTGAGCCACAACCGCACGCCTGTTGTTTGTATTCTTTTTTTATTTATATATAACAATGGAATGCATTATAATTCTTATTACATATGTAGAGAACAATTTTTCATATCTCTGGTTGTATACATAGTATATTCACACCAATTCATGTTTTCATACATGTACTTTGGATAATGATCATCACATTCAACCATCATTAATTACCCCCTGCCCCCTCCCTTCCCCTCCCACCTCTCTGCCTTACCTAGAGCTCATCTATTCCTCCCATGCTCCCTCTCTCTATCCCACTGTGAATCAGCCTCCTTATATCAAAGAAAACATTTGGCATTTGGTTTTTTGGGATTGGTTAACTTCATTCAGCATTATCTTCTTTAACTCTATTTACCTGCAAATGCCATGATTTTATTCTCTTTTATTGTGGAGTAATATTCCATTGTGTATATATACCACATTTTTTTTTATCCATTCATCTATTGAAGGGCATCTAGGTTGGTTCCACAGTTTAGCTATTGTGAATTGTGCTGCTATAAACATTGATGTGGCTGTGTCCCTGTAGTACGCTGTTTTTAAGTTCTTTGGGTATAGACTGAGGAGAGGGATAGGTAGGTCAAATGGTGGTCTCATTCCCAATTTTCGAAGAAATCTCCATACTGCTTCCCATATTGGCTGCACCAATTTGCAGCCCCACAGCAATGTATGAGTGTACCTTTTTCCCCACATCCTCACCAACACTTATTGTTGTTTGTTTGCATAACAACTGCCATTCTGACAGGAGTGAGATGCAATCTTAGTTTTGATTTGCATTTCTCTAATTGCTATACATGTTGAACATTTTTTCATATATTTGTTGATTGATTATATATCATCTTCTGAGAAAAGTCTGTTCAGTTCCTTGGCACATTTATTGATTGGGTTATTTGTTTTTCTGGTGTTAAGATTTTTATATTCTAGAGATTAGTGCTCCGACATGCGTGTGGTATGAATTTGTTTCCAATTAATAGGCTTTCTATTCACCTCACTGATTGTTTCTTTTGCTGAAAAGAAGCTTTTTAGTTTGAATCCATCCCATTTATTAATTCTTGATATAAATTCTTGTCCTATAGAAGTCTTATTTGAGGAAGTTGGGGCCTAATCCCACATGATGGAGATTTGGGCTGACTTTTTCTTCTAATAGACGCAGTGTCTCTGGTTTAATTCCTAGGTGCTTAATCCACTTTGAGTTGAACAAGTTAGATATTTAAATGCATTTAAAATTACAAATTATCAAATTATCAATTTATCAAATTATACTACATTTTTAAAAAGCCAAGTAATTCTAAAAAGCTTATAAAAAAAAGCTGCAATCTCTTATCTCAGCTCTCAACCATAATCCCCTACTTTCTAGTAACCTCTACTATCTATTCTTGTTTCTTTGATAGTCACATTCTTTATATTTCTAAATTAAATGTATTTAATGTTTCTATTATTGAATGTCAAAATATATTCACAGTGGAGCCATCTATGAACTATATTCACAACCTATTGCCACAAGTTTTGTCCTTTGAGTAATCTTACCTAATTTAAAAATTCGTTTTCTAAGTACTTACCACTATTTCATCCCAACTTTCTTCAAAAGCATAAATTTCCTTCCAATATTTTTAAAAACACCAGGTTGTTATTTTTTCCCTTACTCTTATTTCTCTCTCCTTCCTTCCTTCTACTTTTTTAAATTAATTAATTAATTTTAATTAGGTATATATGACAGCAAAACGCATTTTGATTCATTGTACACAATTGTAGCACAACTTTTGATTTCTCTTGTTGTACACGATGTAGCATCACACCATATGGGCGTCATACATGAACCTAGGGTAATGATGTCCATTTCATTCCACTGTCTTTCCTGCCCCCAGACCCCGACCTCTCCCCACCCTCCCCTTTGCCCAATCAAAGTTCCTCCATTTTTCCCATGGCCCCATTATGGATCAGCATCCACATATCAGAGAGAATATTCAAACTTTGGTTTTTGGGGATTGGCTTACTTTGCTTAGAATTATATTCTCCAACTCCATCCATTTACCTGCAAATGCCATAATTTTATTCTCTTTTAATGCTGAATAATAATCCATTGTGTATATATACCAGTTTCTTTATCCATTTATCTATTGAAGGGCCTCTGGGTTGGTTCCACAATTTAGCTATTGTGAATTGAGCTGCTATCAACATTGATGTGGCTGCGTTACTATAGTATGCTGATTTTAAGTCCTTTGGGTATAGACCCAGGAGTGGGTCAAATAGTGGTTCCATTTCAAGTTTTCTAAGGAATGTCCATACTGCTTTCAGATTGGTTGCACCAATTTGTAGTCCCACCAACAATGTATGAGTGTGCCTTTTCCCCTATATCCTCACCAACAGTTATTGTTTGTATTCTTGGTAACTGCCGTTCTGACTGGCGTGAGATGAAATCTGAAAGTAGTTTTGATTTGCATTTCTTTAATTGCTAGAGATGTTGAACATTTTTTCATATATTTATTGATCAATTGCATATCTTCTTCTGAGAAATGTCTGTTCAGCTCCTTAGCCCATTTATTGATTAGGTTTGTTTGTTTGTTTGGTGTTAAGATTTTTGAGTTCTTTATATATACTGGAGATTAGTGCTGTATTTGATGCGCAGGTGGCAAAAATTTGTTCCCAATTAATAAGCTCTCTATTCACCTCACTGATTGCTTCTTTTTCTGAGAAAAAGCTAGCTGAAATTTGTACTGGTTTTCCTCTAGACAGGTATCTACTTCAGATTTTCCTTTATTGTTATCCTAAGAAACTCATTTACATGTTTCCTGTATTAAAGGCTTTAATTTCTGGATCCTGTGATTTCTTTATTGATTTACTGATTTTATTAGAACATTTCCTTCATTTCCTGAGAAGAGGTGCCTAGAAGACCCATCTAAAATTTTCTTCAAGCTATCTTCATATTTGAGCGACAGTGTGGCTGGGTACAGAAATCGAGAATAGTATATTCAAGAGTACATTTGAATATACAAGATTAGTACATTCAATTAGTACATTTTTGATATATGACAACTTTTAAATCATATCGTTCCCTCTTCCCCTTCTGCCTCACATCTGGACAAGGTGACAAGAAAGTCTGGTGTTCATCATTTGAAAAAGTTCAAACTACACATGGGAAATCTCATTCTGGTCACTTTTACCACTATAAAAATCCCAGACCAGTCTCCTTTCCCTGCCTAACTCAACCCATTTTCAGTTTTGTTTGGGAGCCACATTTCTCTCCAGAAAGACTCATTATATGAATAAAAACCAACTGTCTTGTGTAGATGGCATCATAGGTCTTGAAATCCAAATAAAATTTTGGGTGAGTCTTCATTCTACCCTTGCAAAATCAGTTCTCTTCAGAATTGTAAATGCACTTTCCCCACCATGTTCTAGTTTCTTTTTGGAGTTGCTCTTCAGAAGTCCAATGTCATCAAACTATTGATCACTTACTTCCAACTGCTTTTATTTTTCCTCTGGATGACTAAAACACTTTTTTTTCTTTATTCTCAGGGTTATAAAACTATTTAATGTTGTATCTTGGTGTGGGTCTTTATTTCATTTATTGTGATGGCATACTTTATACTATCTGAAATTTGTTCTTGACATCTCTGTTCATACTTTTTAGAATCTGAAAGGTGCTTTCAACATGTGTCCTTATGACCATTTTTAATTCTCAAAATATTTCTAATCTTATGTGTTTAATAATTTCTTTTGAGTTTACTCTATAATATTAGGAATCAGGATTTTTCAGATATTATAATTCTTGGTCTCACCCTCTAATTATTTTTAATTACAGTGCTCATTCAGATACCATAAGGTTTACTGTTTTCAAGGGTATTATTCAGTGGTTTTGCTCTCCTCACAGAATTATGCCATCATTATCACTATTTTTTAATCATCTTTTTGATATTTCTTCTATTCTCCCAAATGTTTCCTTACATTTATTTTCTATTTCTATAGGATGTTTTATTTCTGATTTTATATTTTTAAAATTATTTTTGTTCTATGAATTCTCCTTTTTTATGGTTTCCTACACTTGTTTTTTGGAAATATTTTTCATGACCCTAAGTATATTAATGAAACTTTTTTTTTAAAATGGTCTCTTTCCTTTTCATTATCTGTGTCATTCAAATTTCTTTTTATTTGTATCTTTTAAAGATTTTCTTCAAATGCCTGATAATTCTTCAATGATCAAGGATGAAGCATTAAAAAAGCATTATAAATAGGGCTTAAGAAGAGGTAGGTTTTACTGAAAGGTATTTAGACATGGACCAGGCTATTACTGCCAGAATATAGGTGTCATCTCCTCTGCAGAGAAGGAGGAACCCTCTAATCTCCTCCTTGGGGTGTATTTGCCTGAGTAGGATAAGGAGTTCAAGGGTTTTACCACTGAGTATAGAGACTTTCACTTAATTCCCTTCCCTAATTTTCAGTATAGCATCTTTCCCTTGAGCAGCACCTAATATCTCTTAGCCAAGTCTCTCTGCTTCAATCTATCTGAACTGCCAGGGTGGGCAGAAGGATAGTTACCTTCACAAGCATGGATCAAAGAATCTGCTACCTTAAAAGTTTTCCATATGTCCCAACACTAACTATACCCATTCATTCAGGAATATGTGATGCCTCCAATTCCTGAAACTACAGCCTGAGTCAGTTTGCTTCTTGGTTTATACTTACTCTAGGAACTAAGCATTAAGCCTTTTGTTTTAGGTCATTAATTCTTAATCTATCACCTTGACAATTCCTTCAGGATCCCTTCATTATAGTTTTGGAGGATTTTATTTATTTATTTATTTTTGCATTTATTGGTCAAGCTGGAATATCTCTAGAGCTATTTTTACCTCTGCAGTGGTTTGTTTCCACTTTTGATATATTCACCAATTTGATCTCATTTGCTTTTAAGAATTCCTCTGTATTTCTGGTGTGCCAAAAACACCCTTTTTTTCTTTTCAAAAATAACTTGAATTATATCAGTATGTAGATGAATCAGATTTCTACCACCAGCCCTGTATGTCCATCTGCCCGTTTGACATTGCTAGTCATCCTAAAGGCATTCATAACTTACAGTTAAAGTGATCATATCATTCTTATTTTAAAGACTTTAATGGCTTCCTGCTGCTGCAAAGATAAACATCAATATCTTTGACATGGAATACAAAGCTATACAAAGTCTATAGTTGTCCTATAGTCTTGTAATCACATTTCCATCTACTGACCGTCTTTCAGTTCACTGAACACAAAATGGTCAGTCCCATGGTAAGGTCTTTGCAAATGCTGTTCCCTTTGCCTTGATTTCTCTTTACTCATCACTTTGCATAGTAAATTTCTACCCTCCTTCCTTTACATCTCAATTCAATTGCCATTCCCTCAAGGAAACATTCCCTAATTTAATTAAATTCAATTAATTACACTCAAGTCAATCTCCCTTTTGTAACACTAATCACAATAACAATTTCATATTCACTGGTATGTGCTTGTAGGCTTTGGGGATGAGGTCTAGAGTACAATCAGAAGGATTTACACTGGGCAAGAGGAAAGATATGTTCCCCTGAAATAGAAAGCTGAAGAGAGATACAAATGAATGCTGATTAGGAGGAAAGACAGAAAGCAAAAGGTGTTCATATCTAATAATCTTACCTGATATTAGTTCACTATTATATGAACTACTATCAACCTGGAGGTCCTCAGTCACTGAGTCCTATGTGGAATAAGAATAAAAGAGCATTAATTATGTGACTCAATATCTTCACATCATATTGATTTTAAACATGAAAAACTAATGTCAATTTTGTATATCAGTTTCATATGTATAACAGATTCAGCTTACTAATCACAAATGTAATCCTTTACTTAATATTGTATCTAAAAATAAATATTAAACTATAATACTATGGACATATATATAGGTAATCAACAATATAGGAATCCACTTACTACTGTGAGATAAACCAGTAAATAGAAGTCAAAGGTGAATATTTTTCTGATCCCCTAAGGAGAAAAGGCTTTTTTCTCTAAATATAAAGGCAAACAAATATATTAAAAGAAAAAAATTAATAGATAAGTCTAAAATTCTATATCTAAAATTAAATACATAAACAAACATGGTAATATTTGTCATATAGGTATAAAACTATCATCAATGTTATAAATAGATTTACACATACCAAAAAAAGAAAAACAAATGGTGAGTAACACGAGGAAAAAGAGTACCAACTCACTAGCATTCAAAGATATGGAAAACAACTACACACACACACATTCAGTTTGAGTAATATGGTGCCAATTTGCCAACATGATTTAAAAAATTGTAAATATAATCTACTCTTTGACCTATTGCAAAGTATTTATTTTAGTGTAAGAATTTGAGATATGTTAAAAAAAAAAAAAAACCTTCTGTACCAGGATGTTCACTAATATCTACAATAGCAAATCCTTAGAAATAATCTCAATCTCCAACAAATTACAGTATATGTATCTATCCATAAGACAAAACACTAAGACGCTAAAAATCATTTTTGAAGACTATTTAATGTTAAGGGAATATATACAAAAGCATAAAAATTTGTAAAATGTTTAAAAACACACAGAATAAAAGCAGAAAAATATAAAATTTTGAAGAAACTTTAAAATATTTTTTCATAGTATAAATCATCTACAAGGAACACTTTGTTGTATGCTGTTAAAATACGAGGTAAAAGAGTTTAAAAAAGAAAAAAGCCTTAGGTAGAAGCTGACATCCCCAAGTCATGCTACAGAGGAATATGTAAGCTAAAAATATGGGATTTGATAATCACCTTTAATGCTAATGTCAGATAAGTCACAATTCATTTTTAAAAGTCGAGTTTCCCCAAACTACTGCTATACAACTATAAAATATTGTACAGAATCCACATTAAGTACACCAAGAGTTTATATAGTCTATGAATGAATGTTAGACTGCTCTGTAACATATTGAACTCTTGGTAATAAATCATGTTTCTAATGGTTAATAGAAAGTCAAATGGAAACCATGAAAATGGCTTTAAAATGTCAAAGTGCTACCCAAACATAAAGAAATCATTAAACAACATTTTGAATCTGTCACACAGAAAATGAGCCATAAATACATTTCTCCAATACTTGTTAAAGAAAAAAAAATGAAAGTGAACAGTTATGAATCTACCTGAGTCAGAAATTTAAGGTCTTCTTATCTAAAAATCACAACACTCTTGATAAAAATACTAGAAAGCTATGCAGTTTCTACTGAACAAAGACCATTTTATTCTTTCATTCGGAAGGGCATTAACTACTACATGTGTGTACACTAAGTGTACCCTCCCACCACAGGAGAAACATACATACACTCAATGGAGCCATCTTCTCATCCTGGGTCTCGTCTCGAGCGCTATTTTCTTTCAGGCTTGTCTCTCCTGTAATTCTTAACTGAGTGCTAACAAATAAACAACACAATTAGTTTGCACCATGTGGATTTGACTCTACCTGTCTCTCTCTTCATATTGTTCTGAACCTGAAAGGCTCTTTAGAAGCATCTTCAGGAAGAAGTAAGGACCAGGAGATTTGCACCAATACCCAAATGGCGCCACAAATACTTTCCTAGAGGTTTCACATTTCACTTGCTTTAGATAACTTGGCAAGATTTCAGCTTTCTTTTTTTTTTAAACAAAATTCTTTGTGAAGTCAAATTTCTCCATCTAAGTAAAACAATATTAGAGTATTCCATTTATTCTCTTTGTTGAGTCTTAGAATGGCAGGCTACTTTGCAAAAAAAAAAAAAAGAACTGAGGTTTTCTAAGAAGCCAGGCGGCCTGGACTGCACCCAGACTACCCACCTTGGCAATGCAGAGCTGCTAGCTCCCTGCCTGCTCTGCTCAGTCTCTGCTATCTTCGGCAAACCCGGCTGTTTGCCTTTCCCCTTCAGGCCTGCAAGAGGGCAGCACATTTCAGGGAAAGACCTTGGCAGCCCACTCAACGGCCTGGGGGAACCCTGGGCCGGGGGCCCAGGCCTGCCGCCCTGCCCCCCACCTCCCGGGGACGCCCCGCAGCTCCTCCCGGGTTCCATGGAAAGGACAAGCCTTGAGCCCAAACCTGGCCGGGCCTGTGTCCTCAGGGGCAGGTCTTGGTCAGGAGTCGGAGTTACATTGAGCCTCTGGCCTGCCCGCTTCTTGTAGGTGTAGACCCGTAAAGACCACAAGGCCATCCCACTCCTAGGCCTTGGGAGCCCTGGGGCCCTCGACATCCTGTCCTGCCTCGTCCTTTCCTGAGGAATCGAGTTACAGTCAGAAGCACAGAGCAGGCCTGCAAACCAACACCCCAAAGCCAAAGCCAAGGAGTCTCCTCCCGCCTTTTTAATCTCGTTGAGGCCTGGCAAGGGCTTCTGGGAAGACGGAGGATTCAGAGGCCCCGCCCCCGGAAGCAAGCGCTGGGTCTCGGCGGGTCTCACTGCCAGCGGAACCCAAGTTTTTTGGGAAAGGAGGTCACTCTTTTACTTTTCATTTACTCGTTAGTCAGTTAGGCCCAACACCGGCTACCCATGCTTCCGCCACTCCCTTTAGCATTGCATAAGGCCTTAGTAATGGGGTTTTAGGTCTCTGGGCACAGGAAGTCCAGCTAGGGATCTGCCCCATCTCAGTGCAGGAACTTCAGAGAGGAATGAGTGCACAATAAGGCGATAAGGAGCATCTATTTGACACTTGAGAGTCTAACCAAGCCTTCCAGCATACTGGATTCTCAAGGGCAGAGACCCTTAGTCTGTGCCCAGAAGCTACTTCGTGGATATCTGGGCATCTTGTGATCAAGGCAGAAGACTCCTCAGGGGCTCCCCGACCCTTGGGGCTCAACTCAATGAGCTTCCCTTGTCTCCATAAACCCAGGTTGAACCATCTGGCTGCATCCAATAAGCATATTGCACACACGACTATAACAAGTCTCCTTTTTTCTTAATTTTTTTTTTTCACAGCATTGGAAAATGCAGTCTGCAGAGATAAAATTAGGAAAAGCTCAGAGATTTTTTTCTGGGACTATAAGCACATATATACCTGGTGTATTCGTAATAAAGTTACTCTGAAGTTTTGTATTTAAAATTTTCTCATAGAAACATTGATGACAGTTGATTTAATATATAATTAATCATCAAAATACAATAACAAAAGAAGAAAGAACAGAGGGTAGGCATTGTTTCCTGGTTAGACATACTAGTGCTTTGAGACACTGAATCAGTGTTTACTGAGCACCATACTCAGTGTTAGGTATTGTCAGTGTTGGGTATTGTAGTAGATGGGATACAAAGGTACATCAGAAATAGTCATTCAGGCAAAACATCACAGTTGTGCTACAGTATAAAGTGATTATCTTATTCCAATATCCTTTCTTTAGTTATATTCATAATATGCTAATAGCCTCTAGTCTACAAGCCAAGTTTTGTAGCTCCCCTTTCTCCTTTAGGGGCTCTTGTGAAAAAACTTTAAAGTTCTTAAATGACCTTTGGGAGGTCTGGACCCTGAGAGGGACTAGGTTCAGAAATGGAAGAAACACTGAAAAATGGAAAACAATTTAAATCAAAAGTTGATCATCCCAAGAACTCTGGTGCTCATCCCTAGAACTCATCCCTAGAACTCTGCCTTACTACATTGAATCACAGTCACTAAAGTGTCATCAAGTAAAGATTTATGGGGATTAATGCGTAATTTTAAAGTTGAAATAAATTCTAGCATGGTTTCTTTAGCCAAAAGAATCCTTATGTTACCTAAGTCATTAGTCAAAGGCCCCAGCTCTGGTTGTTCCAACAGACCAGGCTCTATCACTGTTCCAAGATGCCAATCAAAGACACCAGCAATGGTAAAGGGCAAGAAAGGAGCTTTTAATCAAAGTGGCCACACAGGGAAGAACACATGTAGGCAAACAGTGACCAGAGATCTGCCTTCAAAGGAATGAAAGCAACTGAGATTTTATAGAAAAAGGGAACAAAGGCAAGGATTGGGTGTTTGCATAGCTGGGAGATTTACATAGCTAGCAGAATAAATTATCCTGGTCAGGTAGTCTGATTGATAACATTATCTCAGGACTGGTTTTTGTGAAGCTCTGGGACACTCATCGTCACTTGAGGGGGCAATTTGGTTCCCAACATGAGAAGATCGTGTAGGGAGATGCTTTGGTTTCATCATGGGGTAAATAGTCCCACTTAGTAGGGGCAATCTCATTATGAGGTAATGTGTTCTGAGAGGTTTGGAAGTTGCTTGGAGGTAGTGTCAGTCCTTTGTCATAAAGATGATTGTCCTGGGATCCAAGAAAACTGCAGAAGAAAATGACTCTGAGGGAAAAAAGTTAAAAAGACAGAGTCAAAAAGGGACAAAATGGAGTTCGTTAAGAAGGTGACTGAGCCCTCCTTCACTTAGAAACGATCTAGCTGTTCCTCGTTTTGCAGCTGAGGAAACCACAGCCTAGGGAAGTTCCTTACAAGGGATGGTTAACATTGGGGCCATGACTGTCCTGGTATTTGACTAGTATTCTCAACCTGTTCCCATTCCTTCTAATGTGTTGGGAAAGAGGTAGGCGAGCAAGGCCAGGCGTTTGAAGCTCTCAGAAGCCAGGGAGGGGAGGGACTAGAGAGAGAAGTAATCTGTTTACAACTTCGCCTAAAGCCAGCCTAAAAAATGGAAAAAAAGAAACCTATGTCATTATAGCACGGAACCAAGGTTGGGTTCTTGTCTCATAAATTTGAAGAATAAAATCCATGGCACAAGGGTGAGAGCAAAGTAACAGGATTATTAGAGTAATAGAAATCAGAGTTCCTGAAGGAGGAGGAGTCCTAAGAGATACTGAAGAGTGACTATTGTCTGGGGCTTTATATAGATCTATAGGTTTAAAGAAGTCACCTTCTGCTCAATCCTGAGTAAGACACTCAATGTCCACAAGATATCCATGCACCCTTTATTCCAATCAAAATATCTATTAGGTGTTTCCTTTTTTGGAAAGGCATAAACCCCAGTGACACAGGTCCTGATTTAAAAATAGCCTTTTTATAAATTTCTTAGCAAATACCTATAGGTGCTATTTGTGCTCTACTGCTCAGAAAGTTACTCATGGGTCCATCTCCCTATCTGCCCAGCCTTATCTCTTCCTAGTGACTTAACTATAAGAGGGTGAGGTAGGGCAGAGGCATCTCAATTCAGTCATCTGTCTCCCCTGATTCCAACCCCAAATACATAGATACCGGTACACGTGTTCAGTCATGAGTATTAAGTTGAACTTCCATATCCCTATTGTAGTGCTCCCAGACATATACCTATGTCTATACTGATGGTGTTTAGTTCATCAAATGATGGGTTTGACTAGACTGGAAACAGTCATGGATAGACTAACTTCTATGGGCAAACAAATTCCAATTTTTGATGAGATTTCTGAAGAAAGCATTCTGAAAAACAGCCCCTGGGTTTGAGATTGCTTAAAGCCCAAAGGAGGTCTTTCTGCCTAATGGTTTATTATGGAGTAATCCACAGAAGAGCCTTGTGGGTTTTTAGGGGTCCATCTGAAAACCAGAATGAAACAAATCATAGCAATGGATCAAATGTACTTTCAGGTATTGCAGTGTTAACACTCTGCAACATATAAAAGGGGACCAAGAAGATTTTCCTTCAGTAGGTATTTCTTGAATATCCACTATGGGCCAGATCTTCTGCACTGGGGCTAAAACTTGAAGCAACTCAGTCTGGGAGTAGAGACAGAGAGAACATCAATCAATCAACCATGTGGGAAGCTTCTAAGTTGAAGCTGAGTTTTTTTTTTTTTTTTTTTTTTTTTTTTAGTGAGAGAGATAGAGGTAGAGAGAGAGAGAATTTTTTAATATTTATTTTTTAGTATTTGGCGGACACAACATCTTTGTTTGTATGTGGTGCTGAGGATCGAACCCGGGCCACACGCATGCCAGGCGAGCACGCTACCGCTTGAGCCACATCCCAGCCCCTGAAGCTGAGTTTTAAGAGACGAATGGTAGGAGTTGAGGGATTAAAGGAAAGAGATTCTAGGGAAAGGGGACGTATGTGCAAAGGCACAGAAGCACAGGATAGCTTAATGCTTTAAGGGCACTACCAAAAGTAACTGGTGATTAGAGCTGAGCCTCCATGGGGAAGGGTCAGGATAAGAGATGCTAGACCTTGTATGCTGAACCAGGGAGTGTGAACGTGATCCTGAAAACTATGGAAGGTCATCAAAGGAGCATTAGGCAGGAAAGTGGCATGACCAGATGGCCATGGCTGAAATGTGGATGGTAAAATTTGAGGAAGCAGAGCTGGGAATATGAGGACTACTTAAGGAAACAACTGTACCATCCAGATGAGAGATGAGGGTGACCCAAACTTCACAAATAATTGTGAGAATAGAGAGAAGTGGTTGATATCATATATATGGAGAAGACATCTGCATAATTTAGATATGACAGAATGTGCCATCTTAAGAACTTAAGATTAAAGGGCATTATGGAAATATTGTTTGGAAAAACAGTATTTTTGAAAATTTCAATGTTTTTTTTTTGTTCTTTTAGTATAAAAATGATTTAAATCCAGGTGGTGTAGTGGCACATGCCTGTAATCTCAGCATGTACCCAAAGGCTGATGCAAGAGGATTGCAAGTTTGAGGCTAGCCTCAGCAACTTAATGAGGCCCTAAACAACTTGGCAAGACTCTGTCTCTAAGTTTGGGGATGTGGGTCAATGGTTAAAGCACCTCTGGGTTCAATCCCTGGTAAAAAAAAAAAAAAAAAAAAACACTTAAAACCAGGACACAATCGATGATAGTAGGAGTTCCAGCAAAGGCAAAAGAGAGTGTCCCTGGGTGCACCATAAGATTTTGGAGTTTGGGGAACCTTATAGAGGATGCAGATGTAGAATATTCTGGTTGGCAATGGAGCTTGATCCTCTGATGCCATAAGCACCATGATTGAAGATTACCAAATACATTCTCATCACGGAATCTGTTATATAAATATATAAAATAGTAATTGTAAGCAACTTTGAGAAATGAAGTCTTTATTTTTTTACAAAAGTTTTCATAAATGCATTTTATAGTTGGTATGCATGCTATAACAAAGCAAATGAAAATATAATTGGTTAAGATACTTTTATGCATATTTAAAAAGTAATTTTAATCCCCTCAGTTTTCAAAAATTGAAAGTAGAATAAGCAAGTCTTCAAAAAATATCCATTTCCACCCCCCATGCAGTTACTGCAATGATTTAACAAGGAAAATTAAAATAATCAGTTCAATGAATGTTTAAAAGCCATTGTCTCTTTGTGAAAACACTTTCTTGGGACCAAGTTTAGAAGTGCTTGTATTTCAAGTATTTACCTATTGCCTCTGTGTTACAACCATTAAAGTGATCTCACTGAAGAGTTTCCCATTTGGAGTTTGGTCCTCATCCTCATTTGGATGCTAATCCCATCCTGATTGTAGTTAATTATAGATTCACAGGATTATATAACATATTTGAGAGAAAATTTACGTTACTAGGATCCTTTTTTCTTTTCATTTAAATGTCCTTAAAATAAAAACTGGCAAGAAAACACAGCCAACTTATAGTTCACCAATTTCATACATGATTAGTCATTCTTTTTTTTCCTGAGATATTAAACAAGTTTCTAAGTAGTTGGTTTTCATGCAAAAATACATTTTCCCATTCTTCACACTCATTTTTATAGTATCTTGTATTTTAAACTACATAACATTTGTGCTTTGTACATTTGGAGCAGAAAAGATAATTCACATTTTTTTAGAGCAGAAAAATAAAAGATAATCAATTTTTTGACGGGTGACATAATCAAATTAAGTGCTAACTTCAGGTTGCTAAAACATTACCTGATTACAAAAATTCCAATGGAAACTTGTTTTTCTCATGCTGCTAATTTTACCTAAATTTAGAATGTAAGAGTGACTTGTGTAATCCTTGAACTTCTGAGTTACTAATACATGGAGCTAGGCCTAGGTACTATACCTGGCCAGAGCCTCCTCTCCCACCTGGAGGGGAAGCCTCAATACTATATAAGGACATTTTTATGGCAACAGGAAAAAAATGGTGCATATTTCATGTTATAATATATACAACAGGATTGGTTTGTAAAATGAGAAACAGGTCCAAAAGGCCAAACATTTAGGAACATATTTATGCTTAAGCAACTGATTCTCTGTTACACCTCTAGTCTTAAACAGGATCCAATGGCCAAAGTGAGCATGACTCTTAAGTACATAGTTTTGGTTTTTTTTCTATATTGGTTAAAGAAAAACACAAACTTTTTCTCTACAAAATAAGGTTGAAAAATCTGAAGCAAGAAATATTTTTTTCATTAGTACATATTGTTTCATTTGTCATTTATTACAAACTTAAGTGGAATTATAAGAATAGATGAGTACATGCAATGTATTTAAGGCCCAGTGTTTACTTTTCTCAGCACATCTGCACTAACCCTAACCAATGGGCCCAACTATGATAATTAACTAGAGATCAGGAAGTCTTTTAGAATACAGGATCTTTTGAGTGACCAAAAAAAAAAAGAAAAAAGAAATCTTAAGCTGTCCATAAGTAATTATATCAACTGCTATAAGGTGTAAATAGAATCAAAATAAGTTTCAAATGCTTAAATTACATTACTTGCCCTTAAAATAGTATGAATTTCCAATTTAGGTAATGATTTTCACCTTTAATTGGTAAAATATATATTAAATATTTTTAAAAGCCAGTGCTGTACAGATATGGTTTTGGACATCTTAAGTATTTGTTCAGTTAGAAATGCCTTTGAAAATTAATATTAATTATGAAGACTAGGCATGGTGGCACACACCTGTATTCCCAGTGACTCAGTAGGCTGAGGCAGGAGAACTGCAAGTTTGAAGCCAGCCCCACCAACTTAGCAAGACTGGGTACAGTGGTGCATGCCTGCAATCCCAATCACTTGGGAGGCTGAGGCAGGAGGATCACAAGTTTGAGGCCAGTTTAGCAAGTGAGCAAGGCCTAAGCATCTTAGTGAGACCCTGTTTCAAAAATAAAAAATAAAGAGGTAAAGGGCCCCTGGGTTCAATCCCCAGTAACAAGAAAAAAAAAAAAAAAAACAATAACAATGTGCACAGAACTAACTCATTTATTAAATGCCAAATTTGCATGTCTTCAGAGAGACTATGCCCAAGGAATATGTAAAAAAACTGAATAAATACATCAAATGATGCTGTTGTCTACTTTTGACAAGACTTAAATGTAAGTGTACAAGCACTGATGTGGATTCATCCAGTAGACCCATGTGATTATGCAGTTTTTAACTGACAGCATTCATTCAGAGTTTGGACTTCCTCAAGGGGAAGGAGTTTCTGCCCTGAAACACTGAGCACATATTTTGAATTAACACACAAAAATTGCATATGAATTGTTTGTACATTTTTCAGAGTACTATCCCTACTGAAGAAAAACACTTTCCTAGGAACAGTGCCTTTTATCAGATGCACACTCCATAGTTTGGAACTGATGTGCTACCCAGGAAATCAGGGTTTTTGTCATATGGATTCTTGGCACCTAGGTACAGGGTGTATCCAAATACATAATTCAAGAAAACAAGTTTTATGGTTAAACTAAGGAGCATTCAAAGATTCGGGGAATGGAATCGTGCCACTAGCAGTGGCAATTATGATGGACCTAAGGTATTCTAAGGGCATTTTTAAAGAGGTTCTTCAAAATTGTTATTAAGAAATTATTTTCTTTGGAAATAATATCCACTTCTCCCCATATCATACCTTGATAGTCTTATTGAAAGAAAGTGAAACTGTTCAGAATTGCAGCCATAGTTTGGTTTCCCAGGCCTGGTAAATGGAAGAGGGGAAGGCCCCAGTATTAGGTATATTACTGCTCCTCATTCTGAAGAAGAAACTCCATGTTTCTTTTTAAGTCTTCCCCAAGGGTCTGTTCATCATAGAGTCAACAGATTTTAGAATTCATTATAGTAAGAAATCCACAAATATGTGCAAACTATATTTGATTAGTTTTACATTACATTTTTTATAGGTAGTTCTTAAATATCTTAATGACATTAATAAATGAGAAAACATTGAAAGATCTTTGTAAGTTGTTCTATGATTATCATATTCTAGAATATCTGAATTTGAATTTTTCATGAATAAAAGTAAAAATCAGAGATAAAACTTCCACCTCAATAAGGATTGTCATGTTTAACAAATCTGAAATCATGAATAATGAGTTATCATGTTTTAGTGTGATTCTATACACGTCATTTTAATTTTTTAAGTCTGACTTGATTGTAGTTTTGATAATCAGTTGTTGAATGAGGTAGACATTGCCTAGATATTTGCTGTATCTGGTTATTATTCCACAAATAATTAAGTACAATATCAGTTATGCTTTTCCTTTATGTTTAATAGTTCTGTGAACATTGAGAATATATTACTTTTAGTGGTACACAGTTTTTGAGAAAATGTCTTAATTTTTACATTGCCATTTGCAATATTTTTAGCAGCTTGCTACAATATAATTTTAATAAAAATAAAGTGTACTCAGTGATGATAGAGAAAATATTGTTAAAGACCTCTTGGGACAGGAAAAGGCTCAGTCATAAAATCAGGTGCTTATTCTTTCCCAGCTGTGTCATTTCCCAGCTGTGTCATTTTTACTCGTTAACTTTCAAGAATTACTATAATATTGCTGCACAGTCCATTATACTGAGAAGAACTTTCCTTGAACTTCACATGGAGGTTGAGTAAAGCTCTTCTATTTGTTTTTTGAAGTACTCTCTCAGCTCGGGTCTCTTAGCCTTTAGTGTTGGTGTCAGCAAGCCATTTTGAACTGAGAACATGTCAGAATGGATGTAAATTGCTTTAACCTAAAAATCAAATGCAGAATACATCTTTAACAGGAACAAAACACAGCATTAAGAGCATACATGGTGAAAGTAAACAGGTATATAGGAACAGACAGATGTGTTGATAAACACTATGCTCAGTCAAAAAATTTCAGCCCATTTGATGTATCTGAAAGCCATTTCCCCCCTTCCTTCTTATTTTGCCAGTCAACAGAAGTGAATGGGTTGCTTACTCTGTGCCAGGTACTGAGGATACAAAGAGGTATTATGAACATACCCACCCACAGGGAGCACACATTAGCGTACAGCAGAGCAGACAGAGATATGCTGGGCAATTATTAGCATGGTATGCATGGGATGAAGGACCTTCAGAGTTCAGTAAGTGGTAGGGGAGAGGGAGGAGCATCAGGGAAGACTTCCCATTTCAGTGAGGATTAGAAAAATGAGTAATAGTCAACCAGCAAAGGGGAAGAGGTGGGTAGAGAAGGGCATAATAGGTAGAGGCAGGCTCAAGAAAAAAGCTGGGGGTGGGGGTTGCGGGACGATTAGAAATGGCAGAGCATAAGAAGGGAAATCCAAGGGGGTTCTTGTATAAAATAGGTAAAGTGAGGGATGAAGCTGAAGTGGTAGATGGGCCACTTTATGCAGGAGCCCAACCTTACTCTATAGAGTGGTACTGAAGTGGGACATGGAGGTTGAGTAAAGCTCTTCTATTTGTTTTTTGAAGTACTCTCTCAGGTTGGGTCTTTCACAAAGAGCAATGGCAGGGCTGAACACACACCTTAGAACCATCTCTCCAAGAGAAATGGGAAGGTGGTTTGTGAGAAAGTGCAGACTGGAAGCAGGGCAACTCTTCAGAAGGACTAGGCAATTCATGGGAGAGGAGTGAAAGGCCTACAGAGATGAGTAAGCAATTCTAACCACTCAGAGATGAACTGGCAAGAAGAGTCGAGAGGAAGGCAACCTCTGGGATTTCCAGGTTTCTGTTTTCGATGGCTGCCTAAAGACAGAGATGTTATTCACAGGAGGAATATAAAGTCTGGGGGGATATGATAAGGTCAAGTGAAAAACAAGTTTCACCATGGAATTTTATTTCACCAGAGGGGAGGCATGGAGAGATCACAGTGTCCACATTACCTACTCTGATGGGGCAGAACCCAAGCCTCCTCATTCAGTCTCCTTGTGAAGCAGAATGAGGACTGGACAGGATGGAAGGGACTGATCTAGGGGAGCATGGTTAGGCTCCTCTCATGTGCAGCTCCAGCAGGAAGGCTCATGGTGAGTTCTTTGAAAGTCTATGTTCTGGGCTTGGGTAGGCTGAACCCTGAAGTGACACCATCACTAAGTAGTTACCGTCCTGACAACTGGACCCAAATTCAGTAATTTTGTTGAGATGATACACCCATTTCATTAAATAGTGGTGATATTTAATCAAGGTTGCAAACTGCTGTACTGCAGACTTCAAAGAATTAAATAAAAATATATGTTCTAAATGCACACTTACATTCATTCGTCATTTTGTGTAATTGATAATTATTGAGCAACTACTATGTGTCAGGTACCATGTTAGGCTTTGGGAATACAAAGACGACTAAGTAACAATCCCTGCCCACATGTAGTTTATAATCTAATGAGAGATACTGCAGTATGATACAACTATTATGGGCATAGCACAGAGAGGGATACTGATGGCAAGCAGATGGTTGCTTCCACGTACCCATTCCCCACTCCTTCCACAATAATAGAACCATGACTTGGTTTGGGACCAAAACAAGCTATGTCAATCATTACAGTCCTGTTCCCTGATTTCTTAGCTCCACTTTCATCTAAGGGAGAGCCATGAGATCTATTTTTGGCTATTGAAAAAGGAAAAATTTTGCTTTACTATTAAAGTGGCTATCTACACCAATTTTCCTTCTTTTCTTGAAGGTGGACAATGTCCAAACCTATAGCTTCCACTCTGTGACCATGAGGTAATAAACCAATGTGGAGATAAACCAGAATGGAGAGTGTGTTAGAGTTGATTGCATTTCTAATTTTTTTTTTGTACTGGAGATGAATCCAGGGTTACTCATCACTGAGCTAAATCCCCAGCCCTTTTATTTTTTATTTTGAGACAAGGTCTCACCGGTTGCCCAGGTAGACCTTGAACTTGAAATCCTTCTGCTTCAGTATCCTGAGTTGCTGGGACCACAGGAGTCCACCATGCCTGAAGTGACTGCATTTCTGATATACCACCTAAGCCATGTATGGGTGGGATTCACTGAAAAGGGATGCCTGAGTTAAACTCTGAAGGATAAGTAGGCTTTAGACAGATGAAGATAGCAAGGGGAGAGGGTGCCTGCTATATGGTCCGTGGTTAGCAAGATACTCAGAGAGGCAATATGGGCCAACACATATCTGGAACACTCCCAGTGTAGGCTGAGGCATAGGAATAGGGTTTGTGAGGTTAACTGGTCAAATCATAAAGGAGCAATACAACTAGCTAGGGAGTTTGGACATGACTCTTTAAACAAGTATTAAGAAACAGGATCAGAAGGGCTCTTTGGAAAGATTACTCTGTTAAGAAAGAAGTAGGGTAAGAGTGGAAGACGAAAGACCAGCCAACAGGCAAGACAGATTGTGGTTTGGGCTGTGAAGTTGGTGGTGGGGGTAGAAGCTTTGGAGTAGAAAGGCAGCATTTGCAATTGGTCTATTGGTTTGGGTAAGTAGTAAAGAAAGAGAGGTCAGAATGACTCTAGATCTCTGCTTGAGAAAATACTACAATGTTAAAAACTGGAGGAGGAACAGAGAGAGGTGGGTAGATCAAGTGTTCATATTAAGATTTACATGCTTCTGAGATAAAATGGACTTTGAACATTTGAACATGTTTTAGAGATGCAGCCTTGGCTTGAGAGAGTGAAGGAGTGACTTACGGAGCAGAGAGGAATTAAAGTGTGTAGAAGCCATGGGAAGAAGAGTGAGAGGTCACTCTGTCCAAAGCCACTGTCCTATGAGAACAGTTCAAAAAGCCCAAAGACACAATTCAGAAAAGAGCTTATTTAAAAAAAAAATCAATGTATGCAAGGAATTTCAATAACTGTTTTCAAACTCTCTGATGCTAACCGTCTGCTACCCCGGCAGGTGGGTATTTAAAGATAACAAAGCATTTTTTTGCTCAGAAAACTCTTCAATACATTCATCAATTTAATTTTAATTTTTGGTACTAGGGATTGAATCTTGGGTTGCTCGGCTTCGAAGCAACATTCCCAGCCCTTTTTTTATTGTTGCATCATAATTGTACATAGTAGTGGGATTCATTATGCCATAGTCATATGCACCTGACAAAATTTGATCAATCTCATTCCTAGTACCTTTCCTTTCCCTCCTCCCCTCCTCCTCCACCTGCTTGCTTTACTCTACTAATCTCCCATCTATTATTATTATTATTATAAATTATTATTATTTTTGAAGGGGTCTTGCTAAGTTGTCCAGGCTTGCCTTGCACTTATGATCCTCCATAAAAAATTCTAACAGATTCTGCCATTTTTACCCCTATTTGTACCTAAAGAATGTGAAATTTTTCAGATGAGTACAGCATTAATAGATCAGATTCATCTTTATCTCTTAAGATATTTGTTCAAACGAAGGATACATGTTTGTCTTAGAGTAGCATACTTCAGTAAAACAGCATTAGGAGCCTTTTAAGTCAGGGGTTGAACAAACATTATGCTAAAAATTCAGCTAGCATTACAGGCAGCCAATTAACTTCACCTCACTTGTGGAAAGGATTCCTCCTTGGATTTCCAACTTTAATAGCTGGAAATCTGAGGCTATTGGCTAAAGTTTGGTATTGTGAAGAATTTCGAAATTAATTAAAGTTCTTATAAAGAACATTTTGTTTGCAAACTCTCCCTGTACTTTTTACTCAAAGAAGCAAGCATTTGTTCAGGAATAGGGATGTTATTTTTTGGACCTTTGTTGTTATCAGGCATCAATCATCCTAGGACATGTGCAATTCTTTGAAAATAGGTCCCAAGAGAGAAGTTTGATATACTGAGAAGGATGGAGTCTACAGAGGTCATCCTGGGGGGATGTGATGTGGGTGTAGAGAGGTAGCAGGTATGGACATGGGGAAGGGTGGTGGGAGGAGGTGGGGCAGAGGCAGAGACAGTGGAGGTAGCATGAAGGAGGGAAGAGGCAAGGTAGTTAAGTGGTTAGGGAGAAGCAGGGTGTGGAGCGCCAAACCGACAATGGCAGTACTGCTCAACTTCTGTACAAGATGTCATTTAACTTCTACTTTGAAAAGTCTGGAAATCACCATTTGGTGACAAAATTAATTAGCTTGCAGAAAACATTAACATAATCTAAAGTAATTTAGAAGCTTTCAAGTAACTTTTAATTCTATATAAATTGATGTGATGTAGTATAATAGCTCATATTTACTGTCAATAAGAACAACGAACAGTCCAAAAGTTCTCTTTTGATAGAAACAATATCACATAAAGACCTTAGTAGATGTAAAGCATCTCTCCTCCTTCTTTTGCTCATCAATTAATAACATAATTTTTAAAAGGAGACACACAAGTCAATATATAATTTCTACAGTGTCCACGCAGCCTGGATTTTAGCTCATCTGCATTCCCAATAGCATGTGAAAAGCACTGTGTCATTGGGACAAGGATCTATGCTCATTACTGGGATTTAGGGTAAACACCTCTGAAAATATGGCAGTGACAATCTATAAAATATACAGTACAGGGAAGGTGAATTTTGTAGGGAGAGCTACATAATGCTATTTAGATCTTAGGACTTTTTCTTACTTAAGCAGATTTTATAGGTATTTTTATAGAAGAATGGAAACAGGTACATTTTGAAAATCTGCCAAACCAGCTCTCTGCAGCAAATCTTGGTACAGGGATTGAGTGGGATATCTGCAATTCAACCTGTCTGCCTGCAAAATAGCTCTGCCTGAGAATAGACTATATCATCAAATACAACCTTGCAAAGGCCAAGCAAACAAACAGCCTAAACTCAGCTCCCATTTCAGTCCTTCAGTGAGTAGATTAGAACAACCCTGCTGCCAGGATGCCAGTCCTTGCTTGAGTCTGACCTACACTTGAGTCCATTTCAATTCTTCTTTAAAAATACCTATAAAATCTGCTTAAGTAAGAAAAAGTCTGGTCAGTAAGTGGGGGAAAAATGAGTTGAACCAATCATTTGACTGACCTTAACTGTGAGCCTCAACAATAGTTTTTTTTTTTTTCAGAAGTAAGTCAATTTTCTATAATAAGAACCAAACTGCCCAATTGTGAACCTGTAAAAAAAAGCATGAGAATCCTTCTTCTCCAGTAATGTTAAACATGCTAAGAAAGAGGCTTCCCAATTTTTATGTCAACTCATAAAAGCATGAGCTTTTCACAATTTTGAAGGAATATAATATTTTAATTTTTTCAAAGTTATCACTCAATGAAAACTTTAACGCAACATGGCTAGTAGATAATAAACAGAGTGAATAATTTAGGACAGAAGCAATAAAGACAAAAGATAAAACATTTAAATGAATTAGGAAAATGATCATTTCTGAGTTAAAGGGAAATTGACTAGGTAAGTAATCAATTCAGTGGGAGGAAATATAGTAAAATATTCCCAGTGAGGGCTTCACTAATTAGAATTCGAGAAATCTATTACTCACCGATAGTTCATATTGCCTATGCAAATTCATAAGGCACATAAATATCAAGAAAATTATTAATCATGATGTTAAATATGCTCAAATATTTCCCAGTCACCTACATATTTTAATTATTGATACAATAATTTATTGATACAATTATCTACTCATTAAAATATATCTTCCAAAGCTCTCTATAAATTAATAATGATTGGCCTAATTTGAGGAATTGCATGGTTTTGGAAGTGATTCTTACAGTACATCAAAAAAATTTTTTTTTGGTAGTTTAAAGTTGAATGGAAATTAACCTCTCTCAGAAAATCTGAACTTTTAAAAGCTTTTAATAAATTATTTAAACTCTGGACTTGGCTGTTTGCATGTGTATGTTTAGAGTTAAGCCTTCACTGACCATTCATTTTTGAGAGGGAAAAGTCCTAGGACAAGCTGACAATGGATTATGGATTAACTGAAACAATTAGCTTTGGCTCTCCACCAGGAACATGCCCTCCTCAGGCCTGAGGCCTGGTGCTTGCTCTCCTACAGTCAGCTGAGAGTGCACACTGTGGTGGGAAGGAAGCCGAGGAACAAGGAGAAGGAGAACAGAGAAAACCTGGAGGTGACAACCTTGCAATATAACTAAAGACCCTCAGGGATGCCACATGGCAGCTCTGTATTTGAGGTTACCATGGTGAAGACAGATGAAACTGTATAAGGCATGTGGAAAGCCAAGAACACGTCTCCTCTCAGTAAAGGATCTAACCAAGCAATAATTAACACTGGAAACTTAATCAAAGGTCCCTTTTAAGCACAATCTTAAGAGATTATTGATTGATTTTCTGTGAAAAGGAATCTGGATGGCCTGGGAGGGTTCTTATGTAGCGGGGAAGTCATGCATCTTAATGCCAGCAGAGGGCGTGCAGGCCTTATTAATGTGGAAGGATGCCTACAAGAGAGTTTCTAGAGGGCTTACAGCCTGCCCTTCAAATTATGACAGAGGCCCAGACCAACTGGGTCTGGGACCACTCACTCCTTTGTGGCCCATGGACTACATGGTCACATGTGATCCAGTAACACAACTCCCCATCAAGGTAGGGCAATGAAATTAGTTCTATAAAATTTGTAAATTTAAATTATTATTATGTACCCCAAATTGACCTTCCATTTAGAAAAATAAATGTAACTTGCCTGAATGCCTCGAGATTTACTTATCCAAGATTTAATTGTCCTAAAAACATACTGACAGATGTTTACATTCATCCATTTAGAGAGAAATAGCAATATTCTTAGATCCTAAAAATATGTTTAGATTCCCCAGTTTGAAATTAAGACACTAAAATCTTGATTGGTGGAAATGCTTTTTTAAAAATGTTTTTTAGTTGTAGATGGAACCAATACCTTTATTTTATTTATTTCTTTTTATGTGGTGCTGAGGATCAAACCTAGTGCCTCACATGTGCTAGGCAAGCACTCTACCACTGAGCTATAATCCCAGCATGGTGAAAATGTCTTTTAACTGCAAATCAATACATTACAAGAATTTTATATTTAAAACTCATTTTTAAAATTTTTCTAGGTTATCATCAAATAAACAGACAAAAATTTAAAATTTTCATAAACCTTGCAGACCCTCCACAATATATTTGAGGAAACAAAACTGTATAAAAAAATTCTTACAGGACGTTCATTTTTGTGAAAAAATTATTTTAAATACAAAGAACATTTTTAAATCAAGATGTTATGATTTTAGAGAATTTTTCTCCTTGAATTTTTGACAAAGGAGGTTGTATAAATGGTACACGTAAGTACTTACATGTACCATGTACATGCTTATGAGCTCAGTTATATCAATGGCCTGAGGGAAGACCCAAATCTATCCAATGTCTTAGCAAGTAAGCGTACCCATTGTAGCCAAGAAGACAGTCCCCATAAAATTAAAAATAATATAGGACTCTGGTCTTTAGTATTACAGGCATCTTGGGAAACAGACCAGGTACACATGATCTACTAGTGACAGTGGGGGTAATATTTCAGCCTTATGAATGCATGAGATTATGAGGACAAGCACCGTCTCACTTGTCCAATGACCTATTTTAATTCAGGAAGCGGCAATTGTAGTCAACCCAAACAGGCCTTCAGGGGTCCATTGGTACACAGCCTGCGGCTTTCACACCATAAAGGGTAAGGAAATCTAGGTTAGAGTTGCCACTGGGTTAATTTAATTTTCATCACTAACTAAAGGGCTATAAAGAGTGTAGGGAGGGTAATAGTTACCTGTTCAAAAGAATGGAGGCCACTTTCTTTTCCTAACCTTACCATATCTTCCAAAATGGCTTTCTTCAGCTCCTGAATTAAAATCACAGAAATAAAATTATAAGAACATATTTTGAAATGGGCATAGAGGAAACAACATATTTTGAGTAAAGAGCAACTGGTGATGGTGCAGACATCTGATCCCTTGCACCTGCCATCTAGAGGTGTTGCTCCCTGGCAGCGTCTCAATCACTACCTTGCATCAGACAAAAAAGGGCTGCAAATGGCCAGAGGAGTGGCCATAAACAGGCTCAGTGACTGATCAAAAAAAAAAAAGGAAATTTTTTTTTTAATTTTAAAGCAGCCTGTTGGTCAGCCTGGTGAGTCCTGCTGCCCCCAGATGAGCCCAGGGCCTGGGGTGGGGTGGGGGGTATATGGCTGCTGCTCAGAAATAGACCAAGAGACTTGAAGGGCTAATGCTAAGGTCAGAGAGCGGCAGTCCTCCTCCAACATGTACTATGAGAAGGTTTCAGGAAGGTGGGAATGGTCAATGCTCTAAGCAGAAAGAACTGTGTTCCTGTTTCAATTCCACGACTATCTCTATTAACCCAGAACATACAAAATCACATTTGGAGAGTGCATGGTCAGTGAGTCAGAAAGCCTGGGCTTGCATCAGACTCTGCTGTTTGCCAGCTATATGTCTCTTGATTCTAAAATCCAATAGCTGGTCAAATTTCCAACAAGAAACATGAACTTCTTCAATAGTAACTAAAAGACAAACCTCTGGTTTAGGATTTCCACTGTATATAAAGTAATATTAGAAATTCCCTCTGTGTTCAAATTTTGAGTTTTTCTGTCCTTTTCTTATGTGGCATCATAAAACACTCAACAGCCTTTGAGGAAACAGCCCTAAGATACTGACCTTATTTATGCAGAGATCTGTATATAGTCCTTCAATTCCTCTCTTCAGAGCCCAGCAGGGCATGACTTCAGGGTCAGGCACTACAATGCCCACCAAAAAGGCCTACAATGCCCAAAGGAAAACATAATCATGACCAAAGCTTTTAAAGTGGTTATTTGTGATCCAGCATTAAAAATAATCTCTTGGTATCCTCGACTCCACCCTTTTCTAAAAATAAGCATATGCTTATGAAACATTCTCTCATGTTATAAAACATTTTCTCTAATATATCACACATTCTTGACTGTTCATTTCTTGATATATCCCCCTACATTTGATATGATGGATATTTAAGAACATCAAGAATCAGTAAAATTAGACTGATATCCCAACTTTGATTCTCATGCCAATCTTAAACCTGCATATTTTTTGATGTTAATCAAAGAACTCTATGATCCAAATACTATGATCCAAAACACGTTTTCCATGGTTAAGACCATTTAGAAATTTTTACATTAATGAAACTTCATTCATAAAAAACTTCATTTAAATTTGAATGGTATTTTCTTCAAAAATAATTTAATATTTAATTATATTCATGCAATGACAACATAGAACACATTTGATAACTTTGATAGCATGTTAATGATCTAAATAATAATAATGGTAAAATAAGTATAACCCCCCCCCAAATAATTTAATCTAATAAACTATATTATCATCAGTATCATTATTTGTAATGCTATACCCATTTATCTATAAAATTTTGTTTTTGCATTTCATCTCAAAAATCTCTCTTGGAAGTAAGTGGAACATAAGTTAAAAGTAGTGGGCATGTTTATGATTGCTACTTCAAACAATTTATTTGACCTAACTGCAGTTAACCAAACTACAAGTAATCAAGATTTCTTCTTTAGAAAGGACTTGTTTAGGTGGATCCTGGTGTCTGATTGGAAACTAAAATTTAATTTAGATTTTTCAGCAGTCCTGTGCTTGCAAAAGGGATAGAGCATGGGTAGCCTTACCTTTAAGCTGTCCCCATGAACATAGATTTGTGCCACAGGTTCACTACGGATATAGATATTCTCGATCTTCTCAGGTGCAACATATTCTCCCTGAGCAAGTTTAAATATGTGCTTTTTCCGATCAATAATTTTAAGAGTTCCCTCCTGTGGAGTTGGAAAAACAGCTTCCTAAGAAGATGATACCTCAAGACAGAGTCCCTCAACTCTGCCCTTCCCTACCCTGCAGACCCCCTCCCCAAGTTGCTCCTTCCTGCTGTGTATCACAGGTCAGTGACATTCGAGCTCTGTTGAGTCCTGAGTACTCACTATCCTATCTTCTTCCTTGGCTACTCCCACATCTGTCTAAGATCTCCACTCCTTTTATAAAGACCTCCCAGAACCTCACTATTCTCAGAATGCTTCAAAAATTAGGCTGTTTTTCCAGCAGGATGCAACACACCCTACATGAAGCTCCTCAAAACTGTTCCAGCCACCGAGCCCCAAACCTGGACCTGGTTTTGATATTTGCCTCTCCTGGATCTTTAGCTGTCAGGCTCATCCATCCTTACTCATAAATCCCTTTCTTCTCTACTGCCTCCTCCCATCAAAACCACATCCTGACCAGACTTCTGCATATACTCTGTCCCCACTCGATCTGTTTGAGCTAACAGAGCCAGAGCAACCTCTAGAAGACAAAAAATAAGCAGGCTCTGTTTTGCTCAAAACCCTGGTGGACATCAATTGCTTTTCCTATACTGGTTTCTTTGGTTCTCATTGCACCCCATGAGCTGGGAGTTGTCACTCTTGTTTCCCAGGTGAGATGAGGATCAGACAGTTCAGGTAACTCTCCCAAAGCCATACAGTTAGGAAGCAGGGGGATCAGGACTTGAATTCAGGTCTTTCTAAATTAGAAAACTATACCTCTTCCTTGATCTATCTAATGCTATAAAATAATAATGATTTCTGAAAGCAAATGTATTTTTTAAAAAATGTTTCAGAACTTGTATTTGTTTATTTTTATGTGATGCTAAGGACTGAACCCAGTGCCTAACTCGAGCTAGTCAAGTGCTCTGCCACTAAGCTACAACCTCACCCCAAAGCAAATGTCAAGAATGGCACATTCAAACCTTGCAGATACTCTTCCAAAACACAGGAAAAGGGATGTGTCAAAATACTCATCAACTCATAACAGAATTGTACATAAAAAGAAATTACAGGCTACTCTCAAAAACCATAATAGAGTTGTATATAAAAGGAAAATTGCAGACCAATCAAATGTATAAGTAGAAAGGCCAAACACAATTTTTAGAAAAACAATATGAAGAAAACTGTATCATGGTTAAGTGCCAGGAATGCATGGTTGTCTTACATGAGAAATTTAGAAAGAATACATATTTATTTCAATTGTTATAGTAACAACTTTAATTAAAATTCAGCCATCATTTAAAAATAAAAACTTTAGAAACTGACTTCACAGGCCTCCTGCCTGCTGTTTTAGGCTGTGTTGGAGTGCATGGAGCTTCACATGAACTGATTCGCTTGCTTCTCACCTGCCCTGTGGGGTGGGTGGTTTCATTCAAGTTCAGGACATCAGCAGCATATCTAAGTTTTGTGGGACTTTGAACTTTTACAATTTTGAGAGCCTTCTAATATAAAATAAAGTGCAGGGCTTTGGAAGGTGTGGATGCAAGCGAGAGCCCCTGAAGGCTGAAATTCCATAGCTGATGAGACAGTCTGCCCTCTGCAGGTGAACAGGACCCATTGGCCTCTCTTCCCCCATACCTGTGGGCCTTCAGTTGGAACTGTTTGCCTTATACCCCTCCTCATATCTCTACTCTAGCCTGTGCTTCTCACTCTTTGCTTTCATCTTAGATCAAGGCTTATTCTGAGACTTGGGTCCAATAGGCACCTGTCCTCCCCTGCCTTTCCCCAGGTATATGTTCCCCTGCTCATGCCCATCACATCGGGCTGGATAATGCTGAAAAATATGTGTCCCTGAACAGAGTCCCTGGCCCACAGCATACACTGGGCATAAATTCCTGTCTGCCCCAGGCATGAGGGTTTCTTAAGGGAAGCATATAGATCCAAGCAAGGGCAAACTGGCCTGCCAGTCCACAGGGTCCAGACAGGAATCTATATCATTCATATGCCTGATAAATTTAATGCCTCTCAATGTCCAGTTCAAACCTTAGGAAAACTTTCCAGACACTGAAGAGCCTTCCTGACTGGGCTGCTCTCCATGTTGGCAGCAGAGCCTTCTACTAGTCAAAACATCCATCAAAGTATCTCCTATGTACCAGGTATTGTCCTAAGTGCTTTATAGATATTTTCATTTGTTCCTCAGAACAGCAACTAATGTTACTATTCCAGTTTAAACAATGAAAGAACAAGGCAAATTTGACTTGGATAGAAGTTGTGGACCATGATCAAACAATGCTATGAAGGCTTGCTCTCTTTTTCTATAAGTGTGTCATTGTGGAGCCCAAGAGAGGGATGGGGCTTTGCTCAAGGTGACAAGAGCAACTGCTGGCAGAGTCAGAGGAACTGAGGCATCCTCCCTCTCCGCTCCAAGCACTTCTCAGATCTCCCAGACATCTCCCTTCTTCTACTCCAGAAGATTTCTGCCTCAAGGTTCCAGATCACATAACCTCCCACCACCAGAACATTTGGAGTGCCATGATTTTAAACACACATACCGGCAGCCATTTCCCAATGTCTCCAGTGTGAAGCCAGCCGTCACTGTCCAGGGCCTCCTTTGTCCTGTCCTGATCTTTCAAGTAGCCTTTGAACACATTTGGTCCTCTCACACAGATCTGTGGGGCGAAACGCCATGGCTTCTCTCAGCCACAGTATGATGAATGCCAACAATGAGAAGCCGTCACCAGGCATAGGGAGAATGAGGAATGCTACCCACTAGGAAAACCACTGTATAAACCACAGTGATGGGAACATTGGACACCGAACACTTGCCAGCTCTCTCTGTCTTTTAAACTGTTCCTTGTCTTCTCTCAAGCAGGGTCCTCCCCATGTTCCCCCCTGTTCTGGTTACCCTTCTCCCTCTGCCATCTCTTCTGCAAGAGCCCCATTGGCCCTGACCATAGGCTGCTTTGTGACACTCAGTGGGGTATCATCACAGATATTGATGATTGGCTGATTCTGCCAAAGATGCTTGTTTCATTACCAGGCAGTCAGCTCTCCCACCCCTCCCATGGAATGAGCAAGCACAGAGCTCAACCCACCCCATCTGGTACATGGCCATTTCTTCTGGGGACAGATTACACAGAAGCAGGCCAGGCCACAGTTAGGAAAAAAAAACCAGGGGATTTTAAAACAAATTTTGGGAGTTCAAAATATTGATTTAGACCTACTCAGTCCCAGCAAGGGGGCCTGTTTGAAGTCAAATTAATCAATTACAATGACTGTATACACAAGGTGAAAGGAAAATAATTTCATTCCTATTGTTTTTTTTGCTTGTTTTTACTCACAGACATAAATGGCTATATCCTTAAGTTTACCTCTCCCTCTCCTTTGTAGGTCCAATAGTTCAGCTCCTCCACATCAACAAGCTTGATATGATTGCAGGGCAGAGGTGCCCCCACATGCCCTAGAACACCAGAGTAAGATGGCACTTATCAGTGTTCAGATCCGATTCAGCACTGAAAATGCTCCACTTGGCTGTAAAACTCCTAAGTGGTCAAAGTGGGGAATTATGGATCGAAACAAAGCAGCTTTAGAAAGGTATTTGTCACAGGCAAGCACTGATGATAAAACAAAGTTCTGGAGAAAGCAAAGGCCAACCTCCACCTGGAACTTCATTTTACATTTGATTCTTAAAAGAGAGAAAAAGGCACACCTGGTCTAGCACCAACCTGCACAGGAGCCTGGGAATGGAGGGAGTCAGGAGCTTTTACAGTAGTGTCCACATTAAAACATTGTCCACATTGTCAGATCACGCATCTTGGTTTGGGGATTATACAATACAACTATCATTGTTTTTCCTCTAGCCACTAACCTGTTTATTGGTGCATAGAAAGGACCTAGCAATTTTGTTAAATTGTGGGTTCTGACTCAGTAGGTCTGGGTTGAGGCATGAGACTCTACAACTCTTAAAGGCACCATGGTGAGTGATGTTGCTGCTGCTGGTCTACACATGACGCTTTGAAAAAAAAGGGAAGAGACAACTGGAATGAGGTAACTCACCCTCTTAGGGTGGGGAGATACCAGATTTTCTTGGTCTTATATATACTCCAACCACCTAATTGTATCTGTTATTTTCTAGTCATTGTTTGTGGTTTTAAGTTGAAGGATTTTTACGGCAGGTGCTAGCCAAGGTCCTGAAAGAAAAGTAAACTAGTCTATGAAAAACAAGCAGTGACACTTTGGTTTCTCTTTTAAAAGAAAGGCCGCTGAACCTTTTACAGTACTATACAAAGATATCAAACTCCCTCATATCCAATAACTTTATTGATTTTTAAGGTACAAAGGAATAAAAAATCAAACATTTTGGCTAGGTGCGGTGGTGCATGCCTGTAATCCCAACAGCTTCAGAGGAAGAGGCAGGAGGATAGTAAGTTCAAAGCCAGCCTCAGCAACTTAGTGAGTCCTTAAGTAACTTAGCAAGATCCTGTCTCTAAATAAAATATAAAAAGGGGCTGAAAATGTGGTTCAGTGGTTAAGCGCCACTGGGTTCATTCCCCAGTACAAAATATGTGTCCAATAAGGAAAAAAAATTAGTGAGCCAGGACCTCTAAAGATGATTCCTGAAGATTTGCCATTGACAGAGTGATTAAGGAACAACCATAAAAAATGAGCTTTGGGGTTGGGGTTGTGGCTCAGCAGTAGAGCGCTCGCCTAGCATGTGTGAGGTGCTGGGTTCGATCCTCGGCACCACATAAAAATAAATAAAATAAAGGTATTGTGTCCAACTACAACGAATAAAAATATTTTTTGTAAATGGGCTTTATCTGGCTAGAGTTTAAAGAGACAGAATAAAAAATATATAAAACTTCCAATACTTGGACTGGCTACATATGATTTTGTTTAGGATCCTCCTGTCATGTTTCTACAGACTATCTCAAGGTACTCTGAAAATAATGTTGTATTTATAAGCATATTTTTCTTGCATGTACATCATCCCCACTTTCCAGTTTGGAGTTGAGCAAACTCAGGCACAAACAGCGGCCTAGGCTCACAGAGGAAGTTGTTATCCTGAAGATTTGTTGTTTTTCAGCTTCTTCCAGTATCTGGTCTAAATCTGGTGAAGGATAGATGGGCTACCTATCACAGACCTACTACCCACACACCTGAGGGACAAATCTCCTCAGAATGGGAGTGTGGAGGGGAACTGCTCCTTATCAAGGTACCACTGCTTCCTAGGAGACCATATTTCCCAAAAGCACTCTTAAGAAACAGTTCTCTCTCAGAAGAATAGAGGGAAGGCCAATAGAGCAGAGGAAGGAGGTTGAGAAGAAGGGAAGGCAGATGGGGAAATACTGGGGAACAAAATCTCTACCAAATTATGCTATGTCCATGTTTAATTATGTCACAAGGAATTCTACTTTTTTATATAATTGTAATGCACCAATTAAAATATTAATAAGCTGTGGGGCTGTGGCTGTGGCTCAGTGGTAGAATACTTGCCTAGCATGTGTGAGGCACTGGGTTCAATCCCTGGCACCACATAAAACTAAAAACAAATAATAAAGGTATTGTGTCCATCTACAACTAAAAAACATTTAAAAAAATAAAATATTAATAAGCTATGTACAGTGGCACATGCCTATAATCTCAATGAGCTGGGAGGCTAAGGCAGGAGGATCACACATTTGAGACCAGCCTCAGGAACTTAGCAAGAACCTCAACAACTTTGTGAGACCCTGTCTCAAAAAATAAAAAGAACTGGTAATGTCACTCAGTGATATAGTGCCTCTGGGTTCAATCCCTGTGTGTGTGTGTGTGTGTGTGTGTGTGTGTGTGTGTGTGTGTGTGCTGAGAGCCACGGCTGAGTCTGTATGGCCCCTGGCATTTTGCCAACAGTATTGATTGACAGGCGAGGCATTACTATCCGCCTCTGCCGCGGGATTTCCGGGGATTCCCCGAGAGTTCCCATTGGTTGGGGAAGTGCAGGAGGAGGGATTTCCGGGAGAGATATTTCCGGCTGGGGGTTCCTGGACAAGCCTCGTGGCGTTCAGGACGATTCCCGGGAGCTGTGTGAAGTGTTTTCCTACAGTTTAAAAATAAAGTTTGTTCCTGCTTCAGTGGCTAGTGATTTGTGCCCAGCCAGACTGCGGCATGTGTGTGTATGTATGCGTACGCATATATGTATACATGTGTATGTGTGTGTGTGTGTGTGTATATATATACACACACACACAATAGAAGGGAGATCAGTAGAATAGAACAAGCAATAAGAAGAAGGGAGGAGGAGGAGGAGAAGGAAAGGGAATTTACTGGGGAATGTGATTGATTGATTTATGGTATGTATATTATAAATGACAAGTGAATTCTGTAATTACGAATACTTATAATGTACCAGAAAAAGATTATATATATATATATATATATATATATATAGAGAGAGAGAGAGAGAGAGAGAGAGAGAGCATGTTCACTATAAACATGCTTCTCCTTTACAAGTTATATCCAATTCATAGCCTTCTTTTATTCTAAAACCTAGTTCTGAAATGACTTCAAGCAAGGTTGTGTGATATTTAGAATTCATAAAATCAAATACAATGATACTATAAGCATTTTTCCACCTAGAATCGTAATCTTCTGGTCTATTCTTCTATGAAGGAAATGGGAAAATATAAAAACAATAGGAAAACACAAAAAAAAATTCACAACAAAGAAAACAGACCCATAACATCACAACTTGTACATAAGCATCATCAATGTTTTTCTTCTATTCCTTTTAATTTTTTTCCCTAAATGACTCATGCAAACTCAATTTCCAGGAGGGAGTTTTAGATCCTGCTGTTTTCGTAACAGTGGCCTGCAAGCTGTTCCCACACCTCTAGCCCATCCTACCTGAAGTCCAGTCCCCGGGTGTGGTGAAGGTGCATCCAGCAGTACACTCAGTTTGGCCATAACCTTCATAGACCTTCAAGAAAAACTTGAAAATCACTGTGGGCACACACCCTCCCAGAACTGACTGGCTGCCCTTTTTAGTCAGCTAACATCCCACTGACCATTGGGCTGCTTCCTGGTAAGGAAGGTCAAGGGAAGGTGCTCTAGAGGCAGGAAATTCCAGGGAAAGCTGAATATAGACAACAATCATAGCCTCATTTGCTTAAAAATAGTGCTACTTTTTTTCACAGACACTTAGTAGTTAATGTTATGTAGACTGGGATAAAGATTTCTGGCCTGTTTCCAAATATTGACTCTATTTTTTATTTGGATAAATGGGCATTAGAGATACACATTTCAGAATTCACTCCATGTTTAATTTTGTCTTTGTAAGATCTTCACCTCCAGAGCCCTTCTTGTTTGTAAGAATACACCACATGGGAAAGCCTGCCTTTAGAACAGGTCCAATGCCATGTGGAATAGGAGGATAGTATAAGAACCGTGCGGCTTCTAAAGCACAAGTATATAGTCATGCACAATTATGAAACAGACATATTTACTTGACTTGAAACCCATCAGCCACCATGTTACAATACCCTGCATATGTAATAAATTAATAAATACTAATCGAATGGACAAATGAAGAAGTAAATTTTTAGATATAACAAAACCACTGAATCAAATAACATAAAATTGGGTTTTCATCCCCACTCTTGTGCTCCTCTAAGACACTGGGAAGATATTTTGTGAGCTAGAGAATACAGAGATTGGTATAGGTGGGGTACAGCTTCTCTGGCACATTGATGATTCATACATAGTTTATCTGATCCCTTTGTCCTTTGCAAAAACCTTCCAAGGGCTCAGGGAAAGGAATTTTTCAGAGTGCATACATATGTGTTTCCAGAATGGGGCAAGGGTATCCTGGTTTTAATTGGCTCTGGGATTTTTCTGCATCCTTGGAAAAGGGAGATCTATCCCACAAATCTTGTTCCTGGGATTTTTTTCTGTATAGTAGAGGGTAAAATAGATCTCATCCCTGATGCACATCCCTCTGCCCCCATGTAAGGACATGCAAGGCAATACCTGGCACCCGAGAGCTGCCCGGAGAAATCCCAGGACTGTTGGTGATGCAGGGGCTGCTCCAGTAACAATCATCCGAACACGTCCACCAAGACTGGCCTGTGGGAAGAGGGAAGAATCTGCCAACATTTGTGATACCTGAGATAGTGTGCTGCCCATGTGGACCTCATTCAGGTCCAATATTCTACTGGATGCTAGGATTTTGAACAAAGAGAAGACCATGAACTGATGAAGTCCCTTCCCCTTGCAAATGATACACCCAATCAATTACACAACTTAACCCATGATAAAACCAAACATTGTTTTTGGCAGGGGGCTGAGAATGGAACCCAGAGTCTTGCACATGCTAGGCAACAACTCTAACACTGTGCTAAACCCGTAGGTCCTTGATCAACTCTTTTGTTTATTAAGATAAGTGTTACTAGTCTGTGTGGCATTCTATGATACTGGTTCTCCTTTCCTTAAAATATACAGCTGCTCTCTCACTCTTCCATCATTCATAAGCAACCAAAACAATTACTTAGGGCAATTTCTTCCAACATCCATTTTAATGACATTATCTTTTTTTCATGTATAAATCAATACAATGCTTTATTTACTATGCACTACAGAGGACAAAAAACACTTGAAACACTTTGTTTCTGTAAGTTGAGCCAAGAGAGTTTAAATATTAATTTTCATAGCTAAAAATAGAATAGCAAAAAAAAAATGAGTAATTCTACTAATTAGCTAGAGATTCCTTGGGTAATACAGAGCTGGAAGGCTTCATACAAACATACATAAATGTGCAATTCTGGATTGGACTGGTTTGGAGAGGATGAAGGGACACGAAACAGGAAAGGAAAAGAATATTCCTGAGCATCTAGCTAGAACCTGGTGCTGCTGAAAAACCCATGGGGCCAGGGTGACACTGAAAGGCAAGAGAATCTTCAGACTCTAGAAGCATCTTGATGGAGCAGTATCAAGCATACTAGACTATCCAAGGGCAAGGTTACCCTGATGCCTGTGGAGGTCAAGAGAACTACTTAACCATGGGTCATTTAAAATTTTAATTGTAAGATAAACTTTTATTTCATGAGTTATTATTCTATAAGATTATAGGTTCCTGGGATGAACTTCTTTAATTCTCTTGTAAGATCACCCACTGGACACAGGTGTCATTCTTGCTCATTTCTTACCTGAATCTTATTAAAGAAGAGTTCATCCCAGATACTATTATTCCTGATGATTCCACTCCGGACTTCCGCCTGCTTGCGTCTGGCTGCAAACTCCAGCAGCCAACGCTTCAATGGAGTGTCTGCCTGGCTGAAGATCTGAGGAACACACATTGCAAACATCTGTAAGGGTCTGAAGGCCTTTCCCTAGACATGTCCCCAAGGAAGAAGGCCCAGACTGGCCATCAGAAAAGCCACGCTCCATGATACCCCTGCAGAAGGTCACTGAATGTGTGACATCAAGCTGAAGGTTAACTCTGCCAAAGTCTGGGCATCTTGTGGAAATGGAATTTCCTAAAATAATGCCTCCCAACCAAGATTTTAGAGAAGAGGAAGAAAATTAAAGAAGGAAAAGCAAAAAAAAGAGTTGGGGAATACATGCAAAGAAGCAACTTCTTTCAGGACAGACTGTCTAGATAAGCAGATAAGCAGCACCTCAGCCTGGCTCCCCCAGGGCTCACCTTGTCATACATCCGGTTCAGCAGTCGTGGGACCACAGGGAAGATGGTGGGCCGTAGAGCCTTCATGTCATCTGAGAGAAGGCGGATGTCTCCCTGGAAGAAGCCAACGCGCCCTCCGTGGCAGTAGACAACAGACTGGAAGTTAGAGGACAGGAGTCCATTAGGATGGGCAGGTCACAACTGGCCGCAATCCAGAGCATCCCAAACTCCATAAAGGGCACCCATAACCCAAACCCAGCTCTAGCTGCTGCCACAAGACACAAAGAATGCTATCTGAATGACTTCCCCATCCCATATCTTCACACTAAGTCCCACTCAGATGCAGGGAGAAGGCACAGGAGGAGGAGTGGGATTCTGAGCTTTGGGGAGATGCCAAAATAGCCATTTTCGTGGATGCCTACTCCCACACCCACTGTCCAATGCTGGAAACTAGGTCTTTTTGAGATATGTATAGCTTATTAATGGGTCTATTTCAGGTCCTGGACTATGCGGATTTTCCCAGGGATATCTCTGCAATGATGGAAGGACTTGTTATCCCCACAGGTACTAGAGCTACTGCTAGAGTTGGCTATGGATGCTGTTTGGTGAGAGGGTAAAGAGGGAGTCTGACTATTTCTTAGTGGGACTAAGAGCACATCAGGGTCCTTATATGTGCTCCTGTCTTTAATGCTTATAGCAACCCTACAAGTGAGGTAATATTCCTAACCACCCCCTTTACAGGTTAAAAATGCATAGCTCACTTTACCCGGGGTTAAAAAACTACTTGACAGTAATTACTGGCATTCTAATTCAGGCCAAGAAAGCTGGAAAGCTTGCCTTATTATGCCAGATCTCTCTCAAGGCAAAATCGGAAAGGATTAAAAGATGCAGTTTATTTATAGGCTGGAACCTTGAGTGACACATGCATTGAGAATGCTTTGTCCCTAAATCACATATGGTTTCCTACCCTCACTCTCTTTACCCCTACAGGCCTGACTCAGACTCAAGCTAATACCAGTCCCCATCTGCAGCCTGAGGAGCTGTGACAGTTTGATTCTTTACAGCTTGTTCTCTCTTTTAGGAATTTGAGAGTTATGAGAGTCGTGAAACAGGAGTGTGCTGGCCATACATGGAGTGGTACGACACAGAGCTTGGATGGTAAAGCAAATGTCTGCAAAGTTGCAATGTTCTCAGAGCAGATGTTATGAGCTTGGGTCTTCCCTAGAGAACTGATAGGGTGACCAAGGTTCTTGGACCCTTCTGACCCCTGTGGTACCTTCTGAGCATAGGGCTTTTTGGTCCTACTTCATAACACCAGTGACAAATGACATCCTGCTAGGGTTATGGGTTCTAGGCATGGGTTGTGCCTCTCTAATGCCAGGGCCTTACCTGCACCATTCGCTCAAACATGTGTGCTAAAGGCAAATAGGAAAAGTGCACATCCGCACAAGTGGGAGCCCACTGACTCTGCAAGAAAACAGAAGGAGCCCAGGCAAATCCCAGTCAGTCAGGTGGGCGTCTTACCTGGATTACTCTCTCAAACATGTGAGCCAGAGGCAGGAAGGAGATGAGCACATCGTCCTGTCTCGGAAAGATCACTTTCTGCAGGTGACGGGCATGGGAGACAGAAAGGAAAGAAACACTGACAGGAAGACAACAAGAGAGTCATAAAACATTAAAGAGAAATGGTCCTGGAGGGGCGAACAGGGAGGGAGGGAAGGGAAGGGAATGGAGGGTGTGAAGACAGAGTGATATATGAGAGAGAAAATGAGAGGGTGGTGGGGGAGGGAGGAAAGGTGCAGAGAGAAGAGAGAGAGAGAGACAGGGCAGCATAGGAAGCGAAGTGTTAGGTCGCAGCGCCAGTGGGTCTAGGTTATCTGCAGAAGCAAAGAGCCAAATGAAGCACACATAAACCAGCAGAGTTGGGCTCCGCAGGGAAGGGCCTGCATCTCACTTGCAGTCAGTCGGCGCCAGCCTGGCTCTCTCCCTTTCCTCCCCACAACTGTGGGATCTGCCCCAGACCCCATTTACCCAGTCTCCCTGGGGCTTGGCTTGTCAGCACTTCCTAGTCCTTTTTCAGAGAAAGGGGCCCAGAGAGCCCAGGACAGAGGAGGAGACAAGGCCAAGTCCAAACCAGGAGGCGGAAACTGGCTTCTCAAGCCACAACCAGGGATCGAGGCCTTAAAGGGGAAAGCTGACAGGTCCTGCTGCAGCCCTCCAACACAGGTGAGACTAAGGGTAGGGACAGGGGCTGCTCTGACCAGGTGGGGGCCTGAACAAGGAGGGTTTCCTTTGCCGGACTGCTTGGCTCTTCTGGGTTGCCTTTTGGGACCAGTTTGGACAAACCCTGGGAATGTGGCTCAGTCACCAACCATCTCTCACAGTTGTCTATCAAAGTATGTGACTGGGGCATAGGCAGCCTCCATACTATTACCTGGAGAGAGATGTCTCCACAGTGGAGACAAGGCCTAACTTCTATGAAAAGGCACCATCCTTTCTCCTGAAGGAAACTGCAGAGCATACTCACCACGCTGGGGATTCTCCTTTCTTAGCTGGTTATAAAACACTAACATGCTTTCGTCAGGCCAAGGTCTCAAGCTTTTATGATTTTAGGTTTACCTTTAAGTACAGCCTTATAAATTGGCAGTTGTGGTTGTTTCTCAGACTCTAGTAGTCATTAAACACAAAATGACTGAATTAAACCCTGACCTACTTGAAAACCAAGTTAATACAGGCTACTTGCTGAATAAAGGTACACATTCAAAAGCACAGCTATCTCAATTTTTGAGGTTAAAAATGCAAAATAGGTTTGCAAACTTTTCTTTCCAATATCTTAGTGCTCTTAGAAATCAATTAAGGGCTGGGGTTGTGGCTCAGTGGTAGGCCACTTGCCTAGCATGTGTGAGGCACTGGGTTCGAGTGTGGCTCATAAACATATAAACAAATAAATGAATAAAGGTCCATCAATAACTAATAAAAATTAAAAAAAGAAATCAATTAAGTGTTTGTCAGGTATGGATTGATTCCGTGTTTGAAAGGGATTTTAAAAGTGGGGTTGAAAGGGGCTTTAAAAGTGGGTCTGCTCTATTGAGAACAGAAACTCATGTCTGGGAATGGCAGGCAGCCCAGATTGTATCGGGGGGCAGGGGGCAGAAAACAATGAAACTGATTTGAGGATGTCCTCAAGAGACACCTGTATAGTAAATTTACTTTATTCACCTCTGTCACTTTCAGAAAGCCTGAGAAATCAGCCACCACGTTCCCATGGGTGAGCATCGCACCTTTGGGGTTCCCTGAAAATAGAAGGCAAGAAGAGGAGTCAGTTGGGAGTTCAAGGGCCACTCCTTGAAAATAGTGCCCATGTTAGCGGTCCCCAACACCACCTGTCCACCCAAGCCTCTGGCCTTCATCCTCAGCCACCTCAGAGTTTGAGGAAGTTGAATGCTGCTCCAGGCACCTCCATCCTATAGGCCTTCAGAGCCCGCTATGAGGCATGGCACCAGGAGGCAGGTGACACGACTGCATAGATGGAGTGCCTCAGCCTGAAGGGCTTACTACTTGAGGCTCTGTATCTTCTCCTGTTTCCTTCTGGGAGCACAGGCTTTGCGCCTCTCCTGTCCCCTCACAGACTTCCAGTGCTCAATGCTGCTCTCTAGGCCTGACCTATCTCTGCTGGCAGAGGACTTCCTGCTACAGCTGGTACCTGGCTCAGGTCAGGCTGGAGGTCTCTGGGGTTTGGGCCGCCCCTGCCACCTGCTCATCAGCAAAGATGGGACATAGATGTTCTTACTTTGTCTTCAGATAACCTTCCACTATGATTTGTGGGACTTGGTCCTGAGGGCCCTTGAGGAAATCAGGTACTGCTAGATAATTCAGGGGGTAGAGGTAGGTGGGGACCCAGCAAAGAGCACGCGGGGAGGGAGGCCATTGTGGCCACCATTTCATATCAATGTGGATGCAACCCTGATGTCGCTACTGGACAGATCTGACAGAGCTTAAATCCTAGCCAGCATGACAACACTAAGCCACTTCTCCTCTCATAGTTTCCTTGCCTGTATAAGAGGGACAATAGTTCCCATCTCACAGGGCTTTTATAAGGTCACAGGACATAATCCATGAACAAAAGATGTTAAATTAGATGTTTTCACTGAGGCAGCAGATGTAATAGCCATGAAATGCCAAATGTGTGGGGCCAGACCACATGCAGAAGTTACACAGGAAATATCAAATAAACCAATATGTTAATCTTGAAACCCTTGTCAAGAAGGAGGAAATAAAAGAGCTAAATGAGGAGAGACTAAGAGAATACTGTATTAAACGTCCCTGAATTATTCACTTAAAAATGGTTACTTTTGGTAGTGGAGATTGAGCCCAGGGGGCACTTTACACTGAGCTAATTCCCCAGCCCCTGACAGCATTTCCTTTAAACATGATATAGAAGTTTTTCCAAGTTGCTGGTATGGAGAAACAGCAATAAATCTTTCAACATGGATCTAAGTACAATCAACTTTGCAGAATCCAGGGGCAGATTTTCCTGTTTCTCCCTTTTTCTTGTGTGAAGTCAGTGACAGGGACTGCCACTCAGGCCTCACATTTCTTAGCACTTTGTCTTAGCACTACTGTCCATTTCTGCCTTCCACTCATAAGCACTAAATGTATTTGATTAATACCCAAGAAAATCAAGGCTTAAGAGAGGTCAGGTAATTCTAAAGTTATACAGCAGGAGTGCTAGGAAGTACCAGGAGCACCAACAGATGGTTTTATGACAACATCCTCTGAGTAAATCAGCCACAGACATCGCTGACAGAATCTTTTCTCTGGCTCTTCAGCTGCTCTTTCAGTTGGAAAGCCTATGTCATCATTATACCTCCAACTCCAGTGTCCCCAGGCCTTGCTCCAGGCCCCCTCCACCTTCCCTCAAAGCAACATTTTCCATCTTGCTCCTGATCCTTTGTGCATGCTGGGTCCTTTGCTGGGAACACCCTTCCCTCTCTTCTTCTTCAGCTATCAATCTCTTAGAACTTGCTTAGATCTGAGAATCCTTTGTGTCCTGCTATCCTGATGACTCGGAAGTTGGGTACCCTATATAGCCTAGGATGCAGACCCTTGGGCAGTGACCACATGGTACTGGAACTGCCTGCTGATATGCATTGTGAGTTTATGAGTGCAGGGCTATGTCCCATGTCCTCAGCCCCCAATAACAGGTCTGATGCACAGTGGGTTTTCAAAAAATGATTAAATTAATATGCATAAATAAGAAAACAGTACCAAAGACATATAGACTGAGAAGGGTGTGTTTCCTAAGGCTATTATATTTTCTTCTCTGGGAAGAGAAGTTATATTAACTCATAAAAATATAACTATCATTCAAGGGTAGTTTTACCCACAAATTATCTTTTTTTTTTTTTTTTTTAGCAGAGTCAGATTTCTGTCCAGTTGGTGGTTATTTTGAAATGAACAACGAACCACATACTCACCCATCAGACTTTGCTAGATAAAATAAGCATAATCTCTCACTTCCTTGCAGACTGTCCTGGCCTGACTAGGGGCTCCAAGCATTGGCTGATTCTACAGGGTGTCCACCATGTGGTGGAAGGAAATCTTCCTGGAATTATTCCACCAGAGGAATAAGAGCCAAATATCAGGTTTAGATTATATTTCCCACCTTTCCCCACTCAAAGAACAATGTAGCCCTGGCTGAGGCTGAGCCAGGACACTGGGCATGCAAGGGAAGCTGTAGCTGGGCTGTGACACTGAGGACACACATGGCTGATGTGCTGACAAAGAGAATGGATACAAGAAGCATAGCACGGGCTTAGCCTGAAGTCTAAGGAATCCAAGTACGTGACCAGACTGGGTGCTATCAGGCCAAAGGTCTGCTTACTGCTTCAGCTGTGCCCTGGCACCAGCCATAGATTTGAGTAGGAGGCTTGGGACACTAAATCACAGCCCATTTTCTAGGCCCCATACATTCTGCTTCCACCAGAGAGCTTGAGTAGGGTGCCTTGGCTTTAGACAGTGAATGCACAGTCTGGAAAACACTGGACATGAGGTGTGCCTTCTCCAGGGGGCAACAGCACTGTTCTGCATCATGAAGTACTTTCCAGATATGGGGCAATACCTGTGACCAAGTATCCATTGAAAGCCTGAAGGCACACTTAGAAGGCAGGGGTCCAAAGCCAGAGGCCACAGCAGTGACCTGCTCTTCAAAATCATGTCACCAAAAATTCATGCTGTAAAACTCATGTCAAAAAGACCTCAGAAAGCTCTATTTAAAAAGCAACATAAACCTGAAGGGCATTTTTGAGTTCTGGGGTTGGCTCTGGATGTCAGCTTCTGAAGAGTAAGGGTTCTATTTCTTTTCTGAAAGGATTTAGTAGAGTACAATGGAAAATCTTTAAGCCCACTTAAACGAATGGTAAACATCCATCTCCTTTTAGTAAAACCAATTTCTCATGATCTAATGATGTGGATAATCCTGCAAAGGTCTGCCAAATGCCTTAGAGGTTGTTCCTGTGGAAGGTGTGGGAAGCCTCAGTTCACTGTCCCCTAAGAACTGTCATCAAGGTGAGCCAGTCCTAGAAATACAAGGCTGGAAACTCCTTACCCATTCAAGAGCAAATCAAATGACTTCCCAAGTCATCAGATGAGATGGAGTGACAGCAATGAGAACAACTCTGGATAGGGAGCAGGGCACAAGTCCTGTCACCTCCTCTTGCTGGTAGTGTCCCCTGAGAGCAGGCCTGGTCATCACTTGTTTGATTCACCAACTGTACTGAGGCCCCAGCAGCACAGTGACAGGGTGGACAGGGCACTATACACTGCAAAGTGCCATGTCTTTGCCATGGTCCTCATGTATATTCTGTCTCTCCCAGGAAGCCTTCCTTGACTACTTCTGCCCATGCTGATACATGTGCCACTCTGTCAGTGCCAGGCACAGACTGTGTCCTCTTCCTGACAGTCTGCCCTTTCACATGCCACCCCCATCTCCTACTTGGCACTATTAACGACCCTCTTCACAGGTGAGAAACTGGGAACAGTAATGGCAGAGAAGTAACTGGTTCATAGTACTCTAGGAAAGTGGTGGGGATGGGACTCACACTCAGCCTCTTAGACATCCTTTGATGGAGTCTTAGATATCCTCAGACTCCTTCCTCAGTCCCTGATACATAGACCAAGTGCGGGTAGGAAGCAGAGGGGTAAGAGCTATTTCCCATAAAGAAACGAAACTATGAGAAAAGTCCTTTCTCCAGCACATAATCCAGCTGTCCCAGTCTTCACTGGCTCAGCTATGGGAAATTCCAAGGACCCCATCTACACCTCCCAGTCCACACTATCTCTCCATTTGGCCACTCCGGACTCGTCTGGTGCTGGATACCAGCAGCAGGAGGAGGGACCAACATCTGGAACCACCCACAAGACAATGTTCAGCCCATCTCACAGAGGGCACCAGAATTCCTGAAATCACCTGCCAGGCTGCCAATATAGGGTGCAGGAGGCCATGGCTGGTAATCCGGGTACCACTGCTTACCTGTTGTGCCACTTGTGAAACACACAATGGAGAGGTCATCAGGTTGTGGGGGCTGCAGGAATGAGAAGAGAAGTGTTTTAGGGAGACCCGAGTGGGAACTACCAGGGACCAAGATGCCTGGATCCCTCCACCACCTAGCCTCACATGTGTGCTGTGTATATGGGTTATACAGGTGGGGGTATGTGTTGGGCATGTGTGAGTGCCCCCATGTGCTGCAGTTAGAAAAGTAGGGAATTGAGCTCCCAGGAAAGGGAAAAAGAAGCTACATGATGGACATGTATCTGTCCCACCAACCTCACAGCTGGTCTGCTGTTTCCCAGCTCTCTTAGATGGAGTGGGGCTACAGTGGTCACATTCAGGTCTCTACCAAATACCCCTCATCTTTTTGGTGGGTATCACCCAGTTCTCTCCTTCCTTCTCATTTTCTCCCAGATACCTTCAATTAGTCTTGGGAATACAACATGTGGCTCAGGAATTGAGTTACCCATTAAATCCCCAGGACTACTCGGCATTAGGTGCTTCCCTGGCATTGGGCACATGGTCCTGGGATCACCAGCAGGAGCCCATCTAGTCTATTTGCACAGAGAGATGGCTTCCCAGAGGAGGTGATATATATAAGTTAAGATGGAAGGACAAACAGAATTTTTCCAGATAAAGTAAGACCATGTATTCTGGGAGAAAAACTAGCTGGGAATAAGTACAGAGACATAAGAGATAGGGTATGTGGAAGGACTGGGGAGCCTGGTGCATGGGAGATGAGCAAAGACCCAGGGCCACCTGTGCAGGGTCCTGGGAAGCAGGGCTATGACCTGTTCAGGACTCCCTCTCCTTCTCTCTCTCTCTCTCACTGTGGCTTGAGGAGTAGGAAGGACTGAGCTAGAGGGAGAGGCCTGGAACCTGAAACCCTGAAAACTTCCTCATAGCCCAGCCCAGTGGGCACTGGGCTATGATCTAACCCCAGGCAGGACCATTTGGAGATGGCACACAGAAAAGTTCACAAGGGAAAGATGAGCAAAGACAGTAGATGCCACAGGTCACTTGATCCAGGGGTTCACTTTCGGTTTTGTTGCTACTTCTGCCCATTCATTCTCTGGTGTGTTCACTACATTCAAAGGGAAAAAAACAAGACTTCCCCAAGAAAAACTCAGAGAGCCACGGGTACCCAGGCCTGGCTGCCCTTTTGTCTCCCTCCCCAAACATCGGACTTCTTCCAGGTCCCTCCCTGGACCCTCAGCCTACAGAAGTCCTGGACCCCCAAGGAGGCGTTCCTGAGTTATGCACAAGATTTGTATATTAACATGGAGGTGCTTCTCTGGCCTCTCTACTCTGGGCTCTGTGAAGACAGACCATACCCACCATCTTGCTCAACAAAGACCTGCTTATAGATTAGCTTACCACAGGAGCATGGTGATTTGCTTGGCCACAGTCCTGAAAAAAGAAAATACTGTTTAAATACATACAAGTTCTCATCAATTAAAAACAGAACAAAATAAATTCAGCATCTGGGCATGCTCTTGCACCAAGCCCAGAGTTTTAGATCCTGTACTTAAACATGGGCTGCTGTGGAAGATGCCACCTGAGTTGCCTCTCCTCAGACATATGTCTAGCCTGGAACTCCTGGGAGAGAGGCAGACTACCTAGAGGTTCTAGGCCCACCCCATACAATACAGACAGGGAGCCCAAGATCTGGGGAGAGGCTAGGCATTATGAACATGACAATGGGTTTGGACATGTTGGGCTTAAGATGCTCACAGTACATCTAGGAACAAGTGTGAGACAGAGTGGCTGGGTGGTGTAGGCTTCTGAATGAGCATTCAATGCTGGGCAACAGGTGGGAGTTGCCAATGCAACTGTGGCTGCTAAAGTCATGAAGGAGTTCAAGTGCACAGGCATATGGATACAAGGAGCAGCAGACAAGAAAGGCAGGACAGGAGGCCCCAGGGCCCTGGATCCAAGAGCACAGTAGAAGTCAGTTGAGCAGTGCCTGAGATCCTGGAGGCCAGTTCTGAAGGCTGCTGAGGATCTGGGTCCCAATGAGTCCTGGAACTCAAGTCTATCCTCAGACACACACAGGCTGACACTAGCTAGAAGTGAGGAAGCTCCAGAGCCTGTACAAGTGCTTCTCATGTTGGCGACCATCATCACCTGGTGGTGCCTGGTGACATTAACTATGCCAGCCATAGTGTCTTCTCTGTGGCTTATCCAGGCCTCCCTCTACCAGCCCTTGCAAAGCCCGGCCTCTCTCAACACACACCTAAAACAGCCACTCAGCACATGAAAGGGGCAGATGACCAGTAGCTCTGACTCAGTGACTAGCCATCTATGGCTCAGCAAACAACCAGAAGCAGATTCTCACCTCCACAGCTTGCATGGACTTGATGACCACCCCGCACTTCTGCCCTCTCTCTTTCAGGGCTTCCTCAAACGGCTCCATCAGGATGATCAACTTTAGCCCTGGAGTATCCTTCCTCTCCACATGCTCTAGTAGAAGCACAGCTTTCTGAGGTTTATCCATGATCACGGTGCTGATGTCCGCTGTGGGGACCATCAAGGAGAGTCAGGCTATGGGGGTGCAAACTATGACTATGAGCAACACATGCCAAACAGCAGCACCATGGGCTGTTTATACCAGAGCTTGTATAAATAAATAAATATTCAAGACAGGCTGTGGGGGCCATGTGTTGTGTGCAAAGGAACATGCCATGGGTCCTGAGTATAACCAAGGGAAGAAGGCCCAGGAATCTCCAGACTTCCCAACTAGCAGACTCCAAGCTTTCCTTTGCTTCAGACTCAGCCCCCATCATCCCAGGTCTACCTGTGTTATTTACCCTACCCCCATTCCTGCAACCATGTCAAGCTGCCATGAACCTGAAATGGTTGTAGCCTTGTGTAAAGGCTGGTTCAGAGGCTTCTTATTGACATTCCATCCCTGTGCAAGGAACCTTTAGGTGAAGCCCAGCTGGGGCCAGCTGAGACTCAGGAAGCCAACTCAGGGGCCAAAGTATAAGCCCCTATTGTTTCCTGAGAGCAGAAGCAAGGACCTCCTATGAATGTGAAACAATTGGCATAACCTGAGAGACTGGGGACCAGCTGCCTATGGTGGAAGTGGGTGGCAGTGGGGCTCACCTGTATTGATGATGTAGCGGATAGCACCAGGGCCTAAGGTGTCATAAAGTGGCACCACCACCATGGAATATGTGTAGCAAGCCAGCTCTGCAATGATCCACTATGGAAACAAGAGGTCAGGATGGGGGGAAAGGAGCTAAGAGGGTGGTACTGCCTTCCAACCAGGCAGCCAGAGTGCCTGCTCTAGGCCCTATACCTGACACTCTGAACAACAAGGAGTCCACAAGGCTGAGAGGTTGTGGTTGCCCACCCACAGCCTTCTAGACCATGCTTTACCCATGGAATTCTATTAACTCCTGGATTTCATGTCCAAACAGCCCAAGGTCCATTTCCAGGACATGCATGCACCTTTTCACCATGACTTTCCTCTCCCTTGGCTCAAGGGACAGCTGTTTGTGGGTCTGGAAGTGGTATGGATGAAGTTCTGCTGGGTATCTGCTCCTGATGAGGAACAGAGCTAGGGGTGGGGTATAGAGGATGGTGTTAAGGTCTCCCTTTTATTTTCTTGACCCTAGTCCTACAAATTGTGGGAGCAGAATTATTCCATGTAGTGCCCAACCCCTACTCCGCTAAGACAGAAAGACCAGTCAGGACAGATACTCACCTCTGGTCGATTTTGTGCAAAAACACCAATAAACTGATCTGTACTTGCTTTACAGTTATGCTGGAGAAGTCCGGATCCCAGAAATTCAGCCCTATTAGCCACCTGCACACAGATGCGGGGAGGACATGGGCAAACGAAGGCTCTTCAGAGCTGGGAGACACCCAGGTGGGATTCCTATAGGTCTAACAGACCTCCCTGACTCCCTGCCCAGGTAGACCCAAAGTCCCTCAAGGCTATTACAGGCCAGAGAAATAAAAAATGACCCTATAGAACCCAGCAAGGTGCCCACAAGCCCCTCCCTCCAAGTGCCAGTTCTGCATGAAGACAGGGTGGGGCCTGTCTTTTGTCACTCACCTCCTGGTAGGATAGCCACTGGTAAGGCTGCTTGGGCTTCCTGAAGCCGAGGCAGGGCCCATTCCCTGCAGAGACAAGCAGGTCTTGTGCAAGGGCAGAGGCAGGGTGGGTATGCTACCCCTGCCTGTCAGGCACCTGGATGGACATCTCACACTGTGGGTATCCACGGGCCATGAATGTCCCCCTAGCTTCCTAACCCAGAAGGACATAAAGCATGTGAACATGGCATCTCTCAGAGATCAGGGAGGCCCAGGAATGGGACTGATACAATAACTGTCCCTACCATAACTTGTGTGACCGTCTATACTACAGATCCAAAAAGACCCAGATACCTGGGGCAAGGAAAAGGTGACAGGCTGCCTCTCTGTGACAGTCCCCCTTTGCCTCATACTCTTGTGTCACCCAGACATCTCAGAGGCTCAAGCTTAGAATCATGCCAGTTAGTAGTCTGACAGCTCAAGGCTCACAAGGGGCTGACAATATGGTGTATACAGTGCGGAGCCTAAAGTCAGGAATCCTAAGGGCTGAAAAAAGCTAAGGTCAGCCCTTGGCCATGTAATGCAATTGCTTTTCTGACTGGTAAAGGAGGGCTAGGAATGGCTTCTCTGATGAACCTGGGCCCTGCTGACCTGCCCATATGCCTGTTACCATGGTTCCTTGTCCACTTTTATACCCACCCAATGCCTGCCACAGCCCTTCTCACCTGAGATACTAAGCCCACGGCGAAACACCTGGTACATGGTCCGGGCATCATCATAGTAGTGGGTAAGCAATTGAGGGCTCCCTCCGATCACAGATCTCCGGGCCCCGCCACTGTCCTACAAACCAAACATAGGCCAGAGAAGCTGGCTGAGGCAGGCAAGGCTGTCACAAAACTGTATACAGTTGGCATGCACAAAGCTGAATACAGCTTGGTTGCACACCTGGTTTACACAGTAGGGCTGGGAGATGCTGTGTGAGCACAACTGTACTATATACTCTCAATCTGTGTGTATCCATACTCAAACATAATTGGCCAGTGAATACAGGCACAGGCCCAGTACACTGATGTGTGACTCCCCCTCCTTCTCTCTCTCTCTCTCTCTCTCTCTCTCTCTCTCTCTCACACACACACACACACACAATACTGCATTCACACACCAAGTCAGCACACATGAAAAGTACAGAATTTTCAGTAACTTTTCATATATATCCATATAATGGAACAGGAAGCATTGGCTGGAGCCAAGTATTTCCTGGCATAACCTCCCAAGGTATCCCCACCACATCAACTGCTCTTAGGCCCCTAGGTTAAGAATCATTTAGGTGTAGTCTTTAGATAAGAAGGCTGCCATCCATCATTCACATACTAGTGTAAATTAGTTGAGGACTGTACTGAATAGTTTTCCAGGAACTGAAGCCTAGGACGGAGGACAGGCTGAGTTACACTAATGTCCAATGGGGATGGGCAGGGCAGTGGGACACTGGACCCTCGGCAGTACAGACCCAGAGTAAGAAGGAAGGAACATCTCTGCACTGGGGTAAGGGAAAGGAGCTGGGTGTCTTTCCTTGCTTCTTCCTTTCTACCCCACCCAGGCTCCCCAAACCAGAACTCTTTTATACCACAGCTTTGCCTGTTCTCTAAGCATTATTCAGGCCTGCCACTTCTTAGAATACTAGGTCTGAGGAAATACTGTGAGCAACACAGAGCGAACAGGCAAACTTAAAACTACAGCAGGTCTCCACTGTTTTGAAGTGGAAAGTTCTGTTTGGCCAGTACTTCTGAAGTTCCAGGCCCAGCAAAGACCTGTGTGGGAAGCTGGAGGCATATATTTGGACCTGGTTAGCACCGGGTGACAGATACAATATAGTAGGGGATGGTGTGCTAGGGACAAAGGAGGCTCCAGCAGTCATGTGTGTTGGGGTGTGGCTGCCAGGCCAGATTTTGGAAATGCATAGGTGTTTGCAGAGCAGAATAAGGAGCAAGGAATGGCACTCTGGGCACAGGCAATAGCAAATGCAGATGTGGGGCAGGAGCAAAGGTACATCTGGGGACTGGAGAGCAATTCATGGAGCTCTAGATGGATATGGTAGGACAGCAAGCCAGAAAGGGCTGCAGATCAAAACAAGGAGTCTGGACTTTGGCTTGAGGGCCATGGGAAGCCAGGGAAAGTGACCCAATCTGATTTGTGTTTCTCACCAAGCAGCATATGGAGTAAGTCTGCCAGGCCCTGTATGTTGCGCTTGCCTCTCTCCCTCCTTTCCTGCCTCTGTTCTTTGCCTCCTTTACTCCAGCCACTCTGACTCTCTACTCTCCTAGGTAGAGAGGCCAGCTCAGTTTTCCTTAGAAGGGAAGACTTGACTTTATCCCATGTCCTGTCCTCTCAGCTAGACTCACAAGCTGACTCTTTCTGTGGTCCCCAGACACTGAGCTAGGCCATCCCTCTTGCCACCAGACCCCACCCAGATCACTGTATCACCTGCAACCCAGACACCTGCTGGTGCCTCCTCATACCTGCCCCTGCCATGGCCACCCTTCCATAGCATGAATTGGCCTTGTCTCTCTATATTGAAAACCCAGAATAAATCCATGCTGCCCATACCATGCATCCCTTCCTAGTTCATGGGCTTCTGTCCAGGTTGACTTCTCCAAGAAAGTTATAATTATAAGCTTAACCAAAAACAACTGTTCTTAGTGCTCTCTCTGTACCACTCTCAAAAACCTTACTACACCATAAAAAACAGGTGCTCTTTTTATTACCCACTTTATTACTGAGGACACTGATGCTGAGAGAGTAAAGAAACTGCCAAGAACCATACAGTGTGAGGCACTTCCAGGCTCCAAGCCCAGGACTGCTGGTCATGAAAGGCCATTCTTATTGTTTTAAAAAATATTTTTAGTTGTAGATGAAAATAATACCTTTTATTTATTTAGTTAGTTTTATGTGGTGCTGGAGATTAAACCCAGAGCTTTATGCATCCAAGGCAAGCACTCTACTGACTGAGCTATACCCCCAGCCCTCAAAGACCATTTTTATTAATACTCTGCTAGTCCCAATCTAGCTCCTCTACATTGCCTAGCACTCAACCATGTGCTTTATCACACATCTGAGCTTTGCATACATCACTCCTTCTCTGGAAAAATGTCCTTAGGATCCAGATGCCTATCTTGATCTATGTCCTCCCCTACCAGGCAAAACATTGCCATGTTTAAGATCACCAAGATGTACCATCAAGAGCAAAAAAATCACAACAATGTATGTATCATGATATAATTTAAAAGCTGGGGGACAGGGGTGCTATCTATACATATTCTCAAGGCTAAGAAATAATCATTAACACAAGTTGCCTCAGGGTAGGAAAACTGGGAGACCAGGGGAAGAAGGTAGAAGCTTTTCAGTATATGTCCTTTTGTTTCTTGCAAATTGTGTGAATGTATTACCTGTTCCAAATGAACAGAATTAAAGTTTAGAAAAAAGGCAAATTGTAAAAGGGCAAAATAAATTCCATAAACTTTATATATACATATATAATACATTTAGTTGTAGGTGGACAAAATACCTTTATTTGTTTTTATTTTTATGTGCCGGGGGATCTAACCCAGTGCCTCAAGCATGCTAGGCAAGTGCTCTACCTCTGAGCCACAACCCTGGCCCCAAATTCCATAAACTTAATAAAGATGCCTGGAACACATTTGTGTGCTGGGCCACTGTACCCTCTTCTCCACAGAGGCTCTACATATAAAGGGCCATGTGCTCTGAGAGGGCAGGGCCCTGGGGTAGACTCAGGTCTGGATCCCTACACTAACCAGAACTGGGCATAGGAAGAGTTTAGGAGGGAATTTACCTGAAGTTCACAGGACCTGCTTAGCCTACTGAAGCATAGATGAACCAAGGTCCCCTATTTGAGAAGCTGGCAAACCAGATGCCCAATGCAAGGTCAAGGTCAATCTCTGCCATGGGACAGTTACTAGGAGAGGAGCATCTGGCAGGAGATGCTGCCCAAGGCTCCTGTAGAGCATGCTGGCTGGTTGGCAGGGGAAACTGGAATTTTCTGGGCCACTTGAGGTCAAATGAGCCACAAGTTTGGCTTCTACCTTCAAGATGCCTGTCCTCTGCCCGCTACTTTCCACAGCCAGACTGCTCCCACCCTGCTCACCTCCACTTCTTCTGACTGCATCAGGAGGTTGCATGGTGGTCTCAGGGCCTTTGGCCGGTGAGTGAACCAGTAGGCAAGGATGGCAGCCAATGCACCCATGCTCACAAGGGTGGTGGCTGAGAGACTGCGGAAAAACTGGCCCAAGTCGCCCAACTCGGGCAGCCGCAGTATCCTCAGGATCTCCTGTGTCTGCATCTTCTCCAGAATTGAGAGGACAAACTCTGTAGGAGACAAGAGATAGATGAGGGAGGAGACCCAGTAGACAGGCTGGGGAGGGATCCTGGATCACAAGTGGCACACTGACCATGGCCAGGCTCTGGCTCAATATACTGAAGAGCAGACCATGGGCTAGTTAGGGTATACAGTTCAGGTGCACATTCAGAAGGCCTTTTTCCATGAGAAGCTAGAGCTCTCATACCAGACAGTCATATAATCTGACCCAGTTTTCCTGAGAACCACATGCTCAGGCCCTGGGCCATGGCTGACAGCTGCTTCCACATCTTCCAGGGGCCAGGATGTGCTCTGGCAGCTTTGGTCATGGAGCTGCTCAGGCCCTAGGACCTGGGTACTCTGCCTTTCCTGTGTGACTCTGCTCACAGGGCTGTGTTTATCATTGCTCCTAGGGTGTGGAGAAAATGTAAAGGCAACCGAAGCGCTCAGAATACTGCAGGATGAATGGGATGGAGAGATATAAGCTCTGCCTGCTCCACCTCTAAGCTCTCAAATCCAGGCCCTGATTCTGAGGGAGAGTTCAGCAGTGCTCACAGACTCGCCTGAACAGGTATCTACAGGCCTGATGACACAAAGACAGTGACCTAGCTGACTATGTGAGCTCTATAGCCCTGTGCTGCCACACACTGAGTACCAAGAGGCACTGCTGGCCCCACCATTGACTGGGCTCTGTACTGTCCTTCCTGACTCCTTCAGTTAATGTCCAGAGGAAACAGGGGGTAGAAAGTATTAAACTGGCAGGAAGAGAAACAAACCAAGGCCCAGCAAGAGAGGGATCAGCAAAGTGCTATGTGTATTCCTAAAGGTAACCAGTACCTCTTGGGATGTCATGGGTGCTGGCCAGGGTGCCACCATCACCCACTGCAGCCCAAGTGGTATAGTGGGCTTTTCAGGGAGACATAGGGATGGACAATGTGGTTTCCATGAGAAGCATTGGTAACCAATTTTGGTTCCAAGAGAGCAGGTCCCAGGGTGATCCTGGGTCTTCCTGTTAGCCACTAAGTAAGTAAGTATTGACAGAACAGATACACAACTAGGCTGGGCTCAGGGTGAGCCAGACATCAGATGCTGGCATCCACACTGAGATCCCTTCATGTCATTATCCCAGTGGGACCTGAATCTAAGAAGCTCCCCAGAACACCTATAGGTCTACCATCGCAATGATGGCAGACTGGGCCCCCACAGGTACCCTCCTCATGGGCCCTTGGTCCTTGGAAGAGGTTCCTGTGATTTCCTTTCTTGGGAAACAAGAAGAAACGCAACAGTGGCTACTCTGCAGCCCTGGGATATGAGCCAAACAATTGCTTGACCCTTGAGGGAGGAGAGATCTGCTAAAATTCCAATAGATGGAATTTGTGCTAAACTGTAACATTACCACATGGACTATGAGGTCAGTGTTGTGCAAGTCATCGCAGAGGGGGAGGGGAGGGAGAGAGAGAGAGAGAGAGAGAAAAAAGAGCGATGGGGGAGGGAGAAAGGGAGGAAGAGAGAGAAAGAGAGAGAGAGAAGCTCCTTGGTTAAAGTCCATTCTCATTTACTTATAAGCTATTGATAGTTGAGCATATTCCACCTCTTTGAACCTCCACTCCTCAGTCTTTAAAATGGGATAGTATTAGGCATGTAAAGCTCCTTGTACTGCATTTAGTAGAGTCAGAGGACGAAAGAAATGGCTAAAGGATATGCTTGTCCGACAAGCTGCTGCTCAGCATAGGAAACAGAAAAGGGTTCAGAGGCAGACCTGGCCCATGCTGGTCCAAATGGCTGGCAGAGGCCATTGGGTCCAGGTCCTGCAGCCCCACAGAAGGAACAGATGATCTAGAGGTGTATAACAGGCTGAGTCCTGGGAACACTCACCAACCTCCCACAGGCTTGAGTGCTCCAAGCACCCAATGAAAGTGAACCCCCAGCCAGGCAGAGCATTCTCCCTGAGCTCTCCTGAGTCTGAAGTCTGATTTTGTCAGCAGCTTTTTTAAGCTGAGTCAGTTATGACTGCACCCCACAGGAAGGACCTACTCCTGGCAGAGCAATCAAATTAAGGTTCTGCATCATCAAAACAGAGTCCTAGCTGTGGATTACAGTGATTCACAAGGAAAACCTCTATGGGGGCGCTGTCCCTGCTGGCATTCTTGGGACATTGACTTCCCTGTATTGCAGATGGGAAGATCAATTCACAGCCAGGTCTATGAGATAAATGACTCATTACTTTGGAAAATCTAGACATGCTCTGTAGCTCTTGGGTGAGCTGAAAGACAGACAGATGACTAAGTGGAGGCAATGGGCCTAAGAAGTCCCTGCCCAGCCTCTGAGGCCTCAGCTATATGGACCCAAAAGTTTTAAAGAGAACCTGGGAGGATATCTCATGAACACCAGTCCCTGGCCCTTGGAAGTTGCTCACAGACCCTAAACCGCCCCAGAGAGTGGGTATTTGTGGCACTGGGTACAATGCTGGAGTTGTCACAGCATACAGCAGAATGAACATGCCATCCATCCATCCTTCCATCCTTCCATCAGACCCCCACATGGCCCTTGCTCTCCACAGATCAGTGCTGGGCCTGCTCTCAGTCCCATGGCAAGAAGACATGAGGGAGTGGGCAGAGTCAGGAAGTGTGGATTCAAGCTGTGATCATACAGAGGGAGTGAGAGAAGGCGCCTGACTCCAGCGTGGCGAGTCTGAGCAGGCTTCTGACAGGAAGTGATGAGACCGAAGGATGAAGAGGAAAGTGTCCCAGGCAGAGGGCAGCGACTACGCAAAGGCTGGAGCTGAAAGAGCACACAGAGTGCTTAGGAAACTGAATCTTCTGTTCAAGATAATAAAAATTTTGAGCCTGTGGAAACTTGTACAAAGGTCAGCACTGAAGTCTGGGAGGCCGGCCTTGCAGATCTGCTGAGCTCTGGGTTGTTACAGTATCATAGTTCTCACAGAGGTGAAATGCAGGACTTGTCTTAACTTCCTGAATTCCTGATGCCTGAGAAGCCCTTTCCATCACACTGCACTGTGTGATCCTCCACGTACTCACTGTGAGGAAGTAGAATACAGGGCTCCTTCTTCACTGAGAGAGGAACATGGCAGGTGCCAAAAGAACCAGGACTCAAACCCCAAATCATTCCTTTGTCTTGTGTGGCCACCCCACACCTTCCAATATTGGATCCAGTTTCACAATGCATCCTCTCCTTCAACTTGGTATTGAAACCACAGAAAGCCAGCTGCAGCCTGCTCAGAAGAGCCAAGGCCCAGTTTCTAGGAGGTAAGGTCAAGTGTAAGGCTGAGACAACCTGGACATGGGGATCAGCCTATCAGATCAGTCACGTGCTGTTGTCTTCCCTGCACACACCATGTGTAAGCTTCTTCTTGGCCTCACATGAAAAACTCATCATCTTCTCCTGGATGGGTTCTTGTCCTCCCCCTGGGGTTACAGAGTCCAGTGGGCAAAAGGCTTGGCTGTCTGCTCCTCCTCGGGTGAGGTGCCCACCCTTTAGGAGGCATCTGCAGTGGCTGTAGCTCCTCTGGCCCTGAGGCTGGGCCTGCACCTTTTCGTGGCTGGACAGCAACCAGGGGGTCTCATTCTTCCAGGTGTAATGGCTTTCTCAGATATTAAAAATTGCTTGCATTTATTCTGAGATTCCATTCAGACCTGGGAGCCACTGAGAAGCAGAACTGTTAAGCCCAGGTCCTCTAAGGACACTGGCCTCAAAGCCAAGCCACGCCATCTAGACCTTGGCATGTAGGAGGATAAGAACTAGGTTTGAAAGTCTGGACTCCTCTCATTACTTCAGGGGGCCTTGGCCTCCTCTGACCTCCTCTCTCTGTCAACATGGGCTGAGGCTTGGTGGTCCCTGGGGTTCCAGCCATGCCTGCCTCCTTCTATGCCCCAAGAGGTTCTGCGGATTGCAGCAGCTGTGAAGGGGGATGGTGTGTGGACAGCACCCATGGGGATCAGTGGTGCTGGTGTTGCCAGGTGAGAGACTGTGTTTATAAATATTCACCTGGCAGGAGGACCCAGCCCTCAGCAAGAGCTAGCCTCCTTTTGCTCCCAACCCCAGCACATCCCATGCCTTTTTCTCCAGTATAGACCCATTCAGAATACCAAGTAGTGACACAGTCTGGAGCACTGGGGCTTCCTCCCACCTTACCATGTCCTCTGCTGACTCAGGGCACATAGTTAAAGCAATAGCTCTTGTGATCCAGGATGGGAAAGAACAGGAAGAAAGGGGCCATAGAGGGTGGCATGTTGGCTCCAAGGTGGGAGGGTGGCAGAGGCAAAGCTCTGGAGCATAGCCCCTGTGGCAATGGCCCTGAGGCCAGTGGTTTGACTCCAAGAACCTTCTGCTAGTACAACTCCCTGCCCCCGCGCCCCCCCCCCACCAGCACTCTACGCCATCAGCTTAGTTGGATGACTCTGCAAGGAAGGATCACTTCCTAAACATCTCTGAAGCCTGACTACTCCTCTCCACCTACCCAGTCCTGGGCCTGGTCCAGCCACTACCAAGGGCAGCCCAGAATGGTATACCAGACTTCTCATGGTTCTTGCTCTCACCTATGCTTATACTGATGCCAAAGTTATTTTCCTGATAAATCAATGTGTCTATGTCATGCCACTGCTCCAAAACTTTATCTGGTTCCCTATTGCCTTAGGTCTAAATGCCAAACTCATGCTGGCCCTCTATGCTCCTCATATTCTTCCCTTCCCTTAGACTCACACCAGTTTGTTTCTGTATCAGAAAGAAATAATAGAATTCTGGGACTCTGCAAACCCCCAAGAACTTCAGAAACAGTGGGGAAGCTATGGTATCAAAGAATATCCTCAATTCCCAGTAAAAACTCCAAAAAGAAAATTACAACCTCTCCCAGGGCTTAGGCTCCAGGACCCCCAGCAAGCAAGCTTGGGAAAGGGCCCAAAGTGGTTTCCAGTGCTAGACTGACCTTGGTCCAAATCCTAGCTCAGACTCTTGATAGCTGTGTAGCCTTGGGCAAATTACTGCACCCCTCTGGGCCTCACCTCAAACAATCTCATGGACAGAAAGTGGGATGCCAGGTACATAATAGAGGAAACACTGGGTAGACGGGAGCTAGCTGAAGCAATTTACTCCCTTTCTTTGCCAGCCAAAGGAGCTCAAAGACAACTTGCAAAAGCAGATGCATTCACACCCTACCTTTCCAGCGGGCTCCTGGCACTGAGAAGGTAGCTTAGCTGGTCCCACTAGAACCAGCTTCCCTTTAAAGGGCCTGTGGGGCCCAGGGAAAGAGTTACCACATCTTGATCAAAGCCCGAAAGTGGCGATGGCCCTGTCCCTGGGAACAGCTGATGGTAACAGCCGCCTGCTCTCAGAAGCCAGGGAGTGGAGAGGTGTTAGCCGTGGAGGCAGTGGCTCCCGGGTGGCTGTGGGAGCAGGTCTGGCAGGAACCAGGGCACAGAGCAGCTCTGTGAGGAGCTACTGGCCCCTCAAGGCCCCCGCTGCCCCCCCCCTTCATCTGTACATGGGGCGGTGCTGGCTCTGATCAGCTCGGAGCTAAGCAACCCAGCCTTAACCCTCACTCTGCCAGCTTGCCAGAGCCTCCGCCCACACCCCTCTGCACCTCCACTCACCCCACCTTGTCTTCAGTCCTTGAGGGGAGTCTACCAAGGGGGGGTTATTAAAGGACAAAGCCTCCTTACACATCCATCTGAGACACTGATTAGGGGCCAGGAGCTTTGTGCATGGACTGGTGACCTACGGTGAGCATGAGCAGCAGGGGTGGTAGGAAGTCATGGGGAGTGAGGGGGTGGGGATACCCGATCTCTGATGTTGAAGGAGGCGGTGCCATCCACCGGCACTCTGCCTCCAGCCTCTCCTAGGAGCCACCTCCACTCCACCCCCACAAGGTCACAACCAATCTTGGGAGAGAAAAGAAACTGGGCATAGTTTCAGATACAAACAATATCTACTCAGGGATGCTCTGGGGAGTAGGGTCAGAAGGTGGAGGATAGTTCATCTTCTCTACAGGGCCCCAGGGCAGCACATCAGCCCCTCCCTATTGCTCCCTAAGAGGCCTTCAGGGATGACCACCCTGGAGCAAGAACCCACACCCTCTCCTGCTGGAACCAAAGCCAAGCTCTCCGCAGCACTTCTCCCAGACTGGGGCACCTAGGTACCAGGCCTCCCAGGGAGAGCCTCACTCTTTTGAGGTCAGTCTCCACAGAGTGTGGGGCTACTTCTGTAGCTCTTTCACTCTGACCTTCGCAGCTTTTCACTCCTACTTCCCTGGCTAACATGTAGCTGGCTGGACACACAAGGCACACAGCTATGCCTGCTAGTGAGGAAGACACACGCAGGCCACAGGGCCCAGTTCAACACCAACCCCAGGCCCTACCCCGGCACCAGGTGCTTCTGGGCACTTCCCACTCTGTTCCTGACACTTCCCAGCCTACTGTTCATCCAAATCCAGTCCACCTCCCTGCAACATGGCCTAGTGCTCCAAGCTCCCTCTTGAGAGATGTTTGCTCAACCTGTCTGGGAAGTCCAAATCCCAGGCTTGTAATATCTTCCATGGGGCTGAAAAAACTTTCCATTGCTCACCCCATCTTCGGGGGCAAGACATACAGGCACCTTCTGCCTCAGCAGCCCACACCTGGAACTAGGCCCCCCATCTCCAGTCCTCCCTAATTAAAACTCACAGATACCTGAGGACCTAATTTTGACCCACGCAGCCCTTCTCCTTCCTCTTCGCAGGACCCTACTTTTCTCCTCCAGACACCGTTAAATCTTCGTTTAGTGCTTCCCAGGAAATTTAGTGGTCACAACAACGTCCTGGTTGATGGAAAGCCATGGAGGATGTGTTCCTATTGCCAGGTCAAGAACTGCATAGACCTTGCCAGGTGTGGTGGTGCACACCTGTAATCCCAAGCAGGAAGGCTGAGGTAGGAGGATTGTAAATTCAAGAGCAGTCTCAGCAATTTAGTGAGGCCTTGTCTCAAAAAAAAAAAAAAAGCCAGGAATGTAGCTTAGTGGTAAAGCACCCCTGGGTTCAATTTCCAGTACTAAAAAAACAAACAAACAACAACAACAAAAAAATACCTCTCACATGCACCCTGTAGCCACTGACCTGTGGAGACGCACATACGGCAGACCACACTCAGCCCAACAACCACCCCATCTGCACAGCGATTCAAGCTCCTGTGGGTGAGGGGCTTTCTCTCCACTTTCCTCTTGGGTTTTAATTACAATCAAAGAACCACAGATGATTGGGGCAGAGATGGAACCTAGGGCATCCACGACTCTGGAACCGTCAGGGGATACCCACTGCACATCCCCCTAGAGAAAAAAAAGGGCCCATGATACTGGGTTGCTGAGTTACAATCTGAGCCTCCCTGTGGAGCCCAATTATAGCTCTGAAAGTGGAAGTAAGCCCCTGGACATGGAAAGGCCTAAAGTGTTCCAGCTTCCCAAACTCACAGAGAACATAGCCCCTTTTAGCAGCCTTCACTACCCCTTTGCCCCCATCCTCACAACAGAACTTCTCAAAAATCTCACTCACCCAAGCCCTGGCCAGGGAACATGGACCCACATTCCTGATGACAACAACAGAAACCCAGGCTCAAACAGCACTTTCAGGAACTCAGAAAGATGAGTAACCTTGAGAAGAGAGGAGCAGACAGAAACACAGTATCTTTTCCAAACTCTGAGATAAAGCTTGTCCCTACCATGAATCAGGCATAGCAAAATTCTCAGAACAGAGGGACAAGAGAAGCTAAAACAATGGCAGCAGCTCTTTGGAAATATTTTCAGGGAATGATGACCAGGACTGATGGTCCTTGGAGGAGCCAAGGTCCCAATTTCCTTCATTCCAAGACCCGGGAGAGCAGGCATAACCCCAGGGATACTGGTGGGGACCATGGACACCACACAGGCAGGAGGACACCGCCTGGCCAGGCCCTACTGTACAGGAAGCCAAATCCTGTGGTTGCAACATGATCCTTTCCCTTCCCAGCTGTGACCACATTAGGACTGTCGGCGTCCTGGCCTCAGAAGCAGTGATCCAGTTCCCTCACTGGCACAAACTGTGGACACACTACAGGCCTCCAGTGAAGGGCACACATCTGGCAGGAGAGCTGAGCTCTCAAGAGTTCACCTGCACGTGGGCAGGGTACAGGTGGGATAGAGTGTAACTTCCTGCAGTTAGGAGGAAGTTCCTTGAGGTAGGAGGATCCTGGCAAGATATAGTTGGAGTTACTGAGGTGGGAGGAGCAAGAGAGGAATTTGCTCACCACTTTTTCATTTCTGGTCTGCTGGGAACACCTGCTCAGGAGGAAATTCATGAGACAGAATCCGAGACACATCCTCCCATCCAGAGAGTGAGAGCAAGGTAACAGTGGAGACAGGGTGGGAAGGGAAGGAAAGCCAGGTGAGGACAGAGTGACACGGTGGGTTGGCAAGGCACAGGAAGAGCCTGTAAGACTTTGGGGCACCTGACAAGAGCATTTACACAGTAGAGGGAAAGAGGCACAGCATGGCATTTAGCTGTAGAAGGCAAAAGATTGTGGTTGGTACTATGTGTATGCCTAATTCCTTCCAAGCCACAGCCCACAAGCTAATGATGCCCACCAGCTCACCTGACCTAGCATCCTGGGAACTGGGGATACGAAAGCACCCCAGGCAAGCTGTGTCCCTCTATCCCTGCCAAAGGACTACCACTATAGCCAGGAGCCTGCCTGGCTCTTTTACCCACCATTCCAGGTGTATTGTCCCTCTGTGTGCATTAGACAATGAGCAAAACAGTTTTGCCTTTGGTGGAGGGTACATTTCCTGGAAAAATGATACATAGCTTAATTTTCTGGCAAATTTGATAAATAGCTTAATATTCTTGGCTGTCCCATACACTGGCAAAATTCTTCTCAATTGCCTCAGGAAGGAATAAATTTGAATTTCTCTCAGTTTAGCAAATCTGCACCCACCTGAGTCACCCCTCTGTGGCTCAGGGCTGAAGGGGGTAGTTGCAGTCTCACATGGTCCTCCTGCCAGCAACCACTAAGTCCTATGGTACCCCTATGAGAGCAACCACAGGGTTAACACCAGGCTCCAGCAGCCCAGCCCTTAGCTGGGCAGGGAGTACTGGGAACTCAGGCCTCCTTTTCAAGGCCAGGATGAATGGGGGATATGCAAATGGCCGCCTCCCGAGGAGCAAGGAGGGCAGGGGAGGGCTTGTGGCTGGCAGGCCTGCAGCACTCCACTGGGCCTGTCACATGAAAGGGTTTGTACTCCTGCTGCTGGCTCCGGTGCCCAGCCAGGCTAGGGCTGTTCTCACCAGAAAACAAAAATCTCTTTCAGACCAAAGCAAAACGAGGCCCCAGCTGGCCCAGGAAGGCCATTGGACATTGTTCACGCTGACCCAAGGAGAGCACCCATCACTTGAATTCTCACTTTTCACCCACTGAAAAGAAACCCACCATCTTTCCAGAGGGAGCTGGAGGAGCTCTGTGGCCACAGAGAAGAGCACCATGTAAGGTCAGGGTGGGTGGGAGCAAGAAATAGGGTCACCCCTTCTGAGGCTCTCTGTGGGCATTATCCTTTTCAAAAATATGAATGGCTGAGACTGAGGTAGCAGCCTTTTTTGGAGAAGGACATTTCAGTGATTCTTGTGGGGCTCATGATAAATACAGAGAAAGAAATGGAAAAAAAAAAAAAGGTGCTGCTAAACAAGAACACCTTGGAGTGTACAGAGGACTTTTAAGAATGGAGACCTCATGTATACCCTGCCAGGCGCCCACAGCACTGCTGACACCATGCCCTCAAGCTGTGGGAGGAGTTTATGGTAACCCAGAGCCCAGTGTATGGGATCACAAGCTTCCAGGACAGTCCAGGGCCCAGATACCTTCTTCAATAGAAGCACCACAGCAAGGTCAGGCTCCAATCTTTTTCAGACTTTTAGCTGCTAGAAATGCTGTTTTTCTGCCACTCTAGGGTCACCAGGAGCTGTCCATTAATTGCTGCATAAATCTTGTACCCCAGGAGCACAGATGCGACTTGGACTAAGGGGAGACAATGACACAGCAAGATCATTTAGCCTGAGAGCACATCTAGGACAAAACCACTTAGGAAAGAATTCAGAACCAACAGGAAGGCTAGTGGGTGCTTGAATAGATGTCCCACGACTCAAGGGAGACAGGACTTGTCAGCTCCTCCGCCCAAATAAAAGGCCCAGCTCTGAAAGGTTGACGGGCTTCACAGGTCACCACCTACCCTGCTGTCTGGAGATCAGGGTCACATGTACCCAAATCCCCCACCAGCCCACAGGCTAAGGGAAGGCCTGCCTCCCCCTAGACAGATTCAAAATTTGGGAGGAGGTGCCCTGAGGCAGAGTGGGGCTGAGCATGGTAAGTTAAGGGTGTCCTCCAGAGAACCATATCCAGGTCTGGAAGGTAAAGTCACTCAACACTTACGAAGGTCTCTGACCACTAAGCGGGATCCTGGGTCCTAAGT